TAACAATAATATTCATCTATGTTGTGTACAGACTTAAAAAGAGGGCGGGGAGGGGGGATCAGCCTTGCACCTTGCTTTTCTAGCCCTGAATACCTGAAGGAGCGTCTCCACCCCCATCATTCAGCCCAGACATCAAGGTCCAGCTCCGAGGGCCTTCTGGCAGTTACCTCATGGCGAGGTTATGGGGAACCAGGCAGAGGGCCTTCTTGGTAGTGGCACCAGCCCTGTGGAATGTCCTCCCACCAGATGTCAAAGAGAAAAACAACTATCTGACTTTCAGAAGATATCTGAAGGCAGCCCTGTATAGGGAAGTTTTTAATGTTTGATGTTTTACTGTGGTTTTTTAAATTGTTGGAAGTCATGTTTAAATTGTTAGACGGCAACCTAGTCAGATGGGCGGCAACTTCCTCCTCCTCCTCCTCTTCTTCTTCTTCTCCTCCTTCTCCTTCTCCTTCTTCTCCTTCTCCTAAACTGTAGTTTGATGGTGCATAGGCAAGACTTGTTGGTTCCTCTTTTCCAACAGATTGCCCAAGAGATGACAGCAGAACTGGAAACTTTGTCAGCCAACAGCACCATGTTGGTTCTCTGCTATTGCCTGACTTAGTCCTGGCAGACCATGGACCCTGTTGAGGGTGGCCCAGATATTATTATCAATTATTATTATTATTACAGTGGTACCTCTGGTTAAGAACTTAATTCATTCTGGAGGTCCGTTCTTAAACTGAAATTATTCTTAACCTGAGGTACCACTTTAGTTAATGGGGCCTCCCGCTGCCACCCAATTTCTGTTCTCATCCTGAAGTAAAGTTCTTAACCCAAGGTACTACTTCCGGGTTAGCGGAGTCTGTAACCTGAAGCGTTTGTAACCCGAAGCGTTTGTAACCCAAGGTACCACTGTAATTGATTTATACCCCACCCATCTGGCTAGGTTTTCCCAGCCACTCCCAACAGAATATTAAAAACACAAAAAACACCAGTCATTAAAAACTTCCCTAAACAGAGCTGCCTTCAGATGTCTTCTAAAAGTCAGATAGTTGTTTATTTCCTTGACATCTGATGGGAGAGCATTTCACAGGTCAGGCGCTACTCCCAAGAAGGCCCTCTGCCTGGTTCCTTGTAGCTTCACTTCTCACAGTGAGGGAACTGCCAGAAGGCCCTCGGAGCTGTACCTCAGTGTCCGGGCTGAACGATGGGGGTGGAGACACTCCTTCAGGTATACTGAGCCAAGGCCGTTTAGGGCTTTAAAGCTCAGCACCAACACTTTGAATTGTGCTTGGAAACGTACTGGGAACCAACGTAGGTCTTTCAGGACTGGTGTTATATGGTCACAGATAGAATTGCCTTCTGTGAGAAGCAGGCCTGTGGTGCAGGGAGAAGCAAGATAATGCCTGCTCCACAGAACTCCATAATTACACATTCAATACTAAGCAATGTTGCGGCCGCTGCTGCTGCTACAATTACTACCCACGTTTTATGTAATGCAATTAAGCAACAATAAATACTGTGTGCACAGAGCTTCCCTGAACATAGATGTGCACGGACCAGCCCCCGCTTTCACAGAAATGCAGAAGTGCCTTAGAGTTCCACTGTGCACCATGACATAAAAGCTTCAACAGAAGTGGCATAATTTATACAGCCCACAGATTGCACTTTATTCCACCAAGGGACACCTTTGTCTTCAAAAAACTCAGATATACTGAGTGGAGAACAAACCTTTATTTAATATATAAATAGCTACTCTCCATAAGGTCACATACCACTCTTCATGGTAGATACAACCTGAGGTGAAATCCCCATAAAAATCTCTCATTAAATTGCTTCCTCCCTCTCTCCTTCATTGAGAGCTGCAAGATTAGGCCAGAGATAATGACTAGCTCACTGTGAAAATATAGTGAGAAAGAGCCATGTTGAAATTAGATCTAGACAATGTAGTAATGAAAAGCACTGGCCAATATTGTAACGGATGGGGATATTTATCATAATTCTGTTCATTATGATGGATTGTTGGTTTGAGGATTAGCCACATAACTATCCAACAAATGGAGGCAAAGCATATGTTTGAAGGTGATGACATTTACAACATAAGTCATGACGGATGTAAAACCCGTTAGTAACATAAACAGTGTTGGCTTCTCGAATATTGCTGACAGTTTAATTCTGCTTCTGCTATTAAAATGAAATATGAAGTAAGAGGGATAGAAAGCCTGTGGACATTGGAATTATTGGGGTATACAGCGTCAGCCATGCTGTTAGTCAAGGCTGGTCAAAGTCAGATGCATGAGAGGTACTCAGGAATCAAGGTGACTTGATGTATACAGCTAAATCATGCGGAATTGTAGGGCTCCAGTATTGTGGTTGTTCCGTAATGTGGAAGGAACCCATAAAATAATTATGCAAGAGCAGATTTTCATAAAGATACAGAACAACAAACTGTATATTCTTAAAATTCAGTCATGCATCAGTGGTCTCATCAGTGCAGGACTTTGGGTCAAAAGTCACAGGGCCCCATCAGTTTTTTAAGGAACTGAAAATAATATTACCATCTAAAGAGCCTCACCTCATAAGACCACTAGGTTTCTCAAGGCAAATCTAAAAAAAAGTAGTATAAACACCGACAACTGGGAAACACTGGCCTATGAGCGCTCCAGCTGGAGAACAGCCTTTACCAAAGGTGCCATGGACTTTGAAGACGCTTGAACTCAGAACGAAAGGGAGAAACATACTAAGAGGAAGGCATGTTTGGCAAATCCTCAACGTGATCAACTCCCGCCTGGAAACCTATGTGGAAGAATGTGTGGATCCAGAATTGGCCTCCACAGTGACTCACTGTTAAGACCGTATTCATGGAAGATACGAGCGATCGCCAAAGAAGAAAGAAGCCTAAAATTACTAAATTGTGTCATGATAGGAATATAATTTGAGTAAAAGCCTTTCCAGATAATCACTTAACAGCACAAATTCAAGAAAGAATAGGTGTGTATGGCCTCTCACAGTTGAAGTCAATGACTTTGGATATCTCACAGTGCAAATGGGAACAGAAAAGTGGCTCACATTTATATCTGGCCCTCATTGGCAGTGATCAAGTTCTCAATGCAGCAATGATTCAGACATTATAAAGATACGTGGGGGAGCAGAAAATGTGAGCCACTTTTCTGTTCCTGTTTGCACTGACTTCAGCCACTGACTTTAGCTGTGAGAGGGCACACAGACCTATTCTTTTTTCTTCTAAGAAAGTTTTGATCTACGTCAGTGAGTGTGTAGGACATGAGCAGGACGATTCTACTCAGTGGTAGCCCCATAGGGTTATTATTTTATTTATTTTACAAATTTACGAACTGTTTTACAGCCCAAGGCGACCAAGATAAAATTGAAAAAGAAACTTCAAAGAACAATTTAAATCATTTCTACAGACTCTAAAAAGAAGAAAACCATTGCTACAGATGTACAATTGATATTTCATAAATGACATGATCACACCTCAGGAAAAGCCTTCTTAGGCAAAAGCATCTTCAGTAGGTGTCTAAACATCATGACACTGGGTGTCTAATTTTTGTTCATTCCAGAGGGCTGGAGTGACAACACTAAAAACCCTGTTTCTACTACAAACTAAATGCACCTATGGGGCATGGGATACTCTCAGCCGTGAGTGACCCTTCTGGGGAGTGGAGTTGCTGAGCTGGGATATATATTGGAACTCATTACCTAAAACAGGGGTGGGCAATTTTTTTCATCCTGAGGGCTGCATTCCCTAGAGAACAGCTTTCCCAGTACAACATGTCCGTGGTGGGTGGGTCCAGACCCAAAAGCAGTGGGGCAATGTGATTCTTACCTTTGTACAGTAGGCTACATTCTAGCCGCAAAAAACCCAGAGGTTTCTAACTCCCCCCCCCCCCCCATTTCTCCATCTAGGCAAGCAAGTGGCATTATTACAGTTCCAAGGACAAAATCATGCCAGGCAAAAAGCACTTGAGGAGGGGATGTAGCAGTGCCAGTGAGGACTGCAACCTGTGGAAGGAGGCATGGACTGGGAAGACTCCTGAGAGGTCTTGAGGTCTGCAGTTGGCCTGTGGACTGTAGGTTCCCCACTCCTGACCTCAAGCATCAGCTTTCATTTTTTAAAGAAGTAATGTAAGGCCATCAAAGTTGTGATTCAATGTGGTGTTATTTCTTCAGTATCCCCTTTATTCTTGCTTTGCTTAATGGCAGTTACATGCTTCAGATCAATGCTATTTTGTTATGAAGTTTTTATTTCTGGGTTACAGTACATTCTTATGGAGTGTTCTGCATGCTGCTTTGAGCAGCATATCCAGGACTAAAACTCAACTCCAGGCTTGCCTTTCCATGCTTAATTTCCAAAAAAGTTTGTGTGTGAGAGAGAGAGAAAGAGAGAAAGAGAGAAAGAGAGAGAGAGAGAGAGAGAGAGATAGGAGAAACCAGGATGCAAAACTTTGCTTTTCAGTCTGGAAGTTTGCTAATAATCACCGTCCTTCCCAGAGAGGTAGCTGAATTAGTCTATCACAGCAAAAACCAGCATCTCGTGGCATCTTAGCAACCTAAAAAAAAAAAGACGTAAGATTTCATGGTCTTCATAGAATCATAAAATTGTAGAGTTGGAACGGGCTCCAAGGGTCATCCAACCCCCTGCAATGCAGGAATAAATTCAGATGTATGAATTGTTCTCAGCTGAGCAAATACTTGAATTCAAATTCATGAGCAAACACTTGGAACAGCTGAACAAATACTTGAGCGTACAGGGAAAACAGTGGGGATGTATTATTATTATTCCTAGGTTTCACTCTCAGCCTTGGGGTTCCAGAAATAATAGCTCATCATCATCATCCCGTGTTTCAGGCAGGTTTTGCGGGCAGAGCGGGCTCCGGCGCGGTGGCACAGAGGGAGCACTGCGCTTTACTGCTGAAGCGCCTGAAGTCAGCCGTGCGCACGCTTGTCTCTCTCCCTCTCTCTTTCTCCAGGGCACCGACGCCGCCAGCCGGGCGAAGGGGTGGAGCAGGCCCCGGATGCACTTCCCTCGCAGGGTTGTCGGCGCAGCCGCAGTGCTCCGGTGGGTGCCCTTAACCTTGCGCGGTTTGCGGCGCGGCCCGAGGATCCGGCGCACGGTGTGCGCGCGAGAGAGAAAAAGAGGAGCAGCAGAAGGCGACGCTCGCGGGGGAGCTGCGCCCGCCCGCCTCCCGCGTGGAAGCATGTCTCTGGTGGCGGAAGCTTTCGTTACGCAGATAGCAGGTGAGGAGGGGAAGAAGCGGCCGTAGCGGGGGCCGGAGTGGGGCAGCAGGGGCCGTGGAGCAGCGCCCGGGCAAAATTGATTTTGAGCGAGGATAGAGGTGCGTTGCGCGCGTCCTTCCAAAAAGGCGCCTTGACCTGGTGGGAGCGGCTGGGCTGTGAAAGGCAAAGTGGATCCTCTGTTTTTCTCGGGGTCTTGCTTCCTCCCACCTGGTCGGGCTACTTTGAGGGATATTGCTTGAAAGCCTGCCTGCCTCTCTAAAAAACCCAAACTGCAGGGACTCCATAGCAGATCTTATAGGCCTTAAGAACTGTTTTGAGTTCTCATCGTTTGGTTGCCATAGTATCAGCAGGAGCCTCTGCTTTGGCTACTTTGTGGATGTTCCCTGGAGTGAAGTCATATCTGGAGTCCCAATTTGTGGCTAGGGTCTCCTGTGACAGTGCTGGATTTACATACAGTATAAGCAAAACAAGCTATAGCTTAGGGCCCCACTCTCTTGGGGGCCCAAATTTTTTTTAAGGAAAAACAACAACAACTGGATGTACATTTCCAAAGTATAATTAAAAACAAAATAAAACCTACATACAGCAACAGTGTTGTGTAGGCTCCTGTGATGTAAGTAATGGGCCCCATCCGCTAGCCTGCTTCCTAAAATATCACTGGTTTGCTCATTTCTATATACAGGGTGCCTACATTCTGCATGGACTGGTTGCATTGGCAACATGTGCAAATGACTTTAGATACCTGTTAGGTCCATAAATTACCATATAGCATATATTCAACACAGAAAACAGTGACAATTTGTTGTTGACGAAGGACAGCTGGACATATAAAGGGCCCCATTACCTTCAGTAGCTTAGGGCCTCATCGAACCTAAATCCGGCCCTGCCTGTGGCTTCTGGGACTAGGAGTGCTAAGGCCCCGTTTAGGCTGATTTGCCAGGTGTGGGATAGCCTGGCCACAGTGACCTCACGTCTGGACTACATAGTGTGCTGTATGTGGGACTGCCCTTGAGGACAATCTGGAGGCTGCGGCTAGTGTGGAATGTGACTGCTAGGCTGGTGAGCTCTGGCACCCCAGTAGGGCCATGTGTTACCAGTCCTGAAAGCCCTGCACTTTTTGCCAGTGAGCTAATGGGCCCAATTCAGTACTGGAATACAAAGCCCTAAATGACTTAGGGCCCAAGTACAGTGGTGCCTCGCAAGACGAAATTAATTCGTTCCGCGAGTTTTGTCGTCTTGCGATTTTTTTCGTCTTGCGAAGCACGGTGTCAGGAAAGTTTTGGAAAAGCTTCAAAAATCACCAAAGTCTTTAAAAACCTCAAAAAAGGCTACCACACCGCGTTCTATGAGTTGCTCCTTGAAGTCAAGTCGCAACTGTATTAACGGTGTTAAGGAAACAAACTTGCAAGACGTTTCCGTCTTGCGAAGCAAGCCCATAGGGAAAATCGTCTTGCGAAGCAGCTCAAAAAACAAAAAACCCTTTCGTCTTGTGAGGTACCACTGTACCTAAAATAATGCCTTTCCCATCTTGAACTATGATCGGCAGGTGAGATCTTGCTAGTGCTGTTGTCACTTTTATCAGCCTGTGACAGGGCCTTTTCAGGGGTAGCTTCCTGTTTGTGGAATGCCCTCCCTGGTAAGGTACATCTGCCTCCTTTGTTTCCGGCTTTCAGAAGGAATCTAAAAAACATTTCTTGTTTACCCACATGTTTGATGGCTGAAAGGCACTGTTCTTGGCAACCTTGAAATCACTGGTTGATAAAGTGTTTTTAAAATGCTTTTAATAATGTTTTTGGTCTTGGTGTGTTTTCTGCCCTGGGCTTCTTTGGGAGGAAGAGTGGAATATATTGCAAGATGAATGAATGAATGAATGAATGAATCCAAAAAGCTGGAACAAATGGCCTGCCTAAAACTTTTTTATTGCACTAGGCCTACACAGGCAATTAAGAAAGCATATTACCACAATGGTTAACTGATGCCTGTTTTTAACTTTTTTATATGCTCTTCATTGTATGTTTTAATTATTTTTTCCTGTAAATCTAACAAAGGGAAATTTTACCAGGCCAAATCTGTCCTCCAAGCTAACTAGCAAATACTGCTCCAGCAGCTGAGGAGTTAGGGTTTATGTCCTGATCTTCTGTAATATGTACCCAGAGCAACTATAAAAAAAGAATATTCAAGAATAAAAAATTTTATATGTGAATTTATGTACATAGCTAGATATTATTGTTTTGATAATGTTACGCTTAAATCCAGTTTCTTTATTTTTTATTTTTTGGTAAAAGAACCTAGCCAGAAATTACACCAAGGATATGTTATCCAAATCTCAGTTAATCATCAAGTATGTCGTGTTCTTGAATCTGGATATAATTCACCCTTTCCCCCCCCATTTGAACTGTCTAAATCTTTCACCAAGTGTTTGTCAGTAGAGACATCATAGTTGACTACAGCATGTTGCTTGTTCACACTATGTGACTGCTGCATCAGCTCACAGCCACCTTTGCCATCAGAAATAATTTCTTGCGGCAGCCTATGACAGGTGTCTCTACCTCTTACCCAAAACCAGGATGTTAATCTCATTTTCTGCTTAGTTGATAAATCCTCGCAAGGCTCCGTCATTCATATTCTGCACAGTGAGGATGTGAAGAGGAGCAAGTCCCATTGAGTTCAGTGGGACTTTACTCCCAGGTGTAAGATTGCAGTTTGCTGTTTGGAAAATAAGGCTTCTTTACTCCTCTGAATTTGTGAAGAACATTATTTTGGGGTGTGTTGATATACTTCCATAGGATTACAGTTTTTAATGAGGTATCCACACACAACTAGTTCACACATAACATGTGTACATGATTTGTTACCATGTGAATATCTGGCAAAATATATGAGACATCTCCTTTGAAAAGTGCTGAAGGAGCATCTCCACCCCCATCGTTCAGCCTGGATACTGAGATGCAGCTGCAAGACATGAAGCTACAAGGAACCAGGCCGAGGGCCTTCTCGGTAGTGGCACCTGCCCTGTGGAATGCCCTCCCATCAGATGTCAAGGAAATAAACATCTGACTTTTAGAAGACATCTGAAGGCAGCCCTGTTTAGGGAAGTTTTTTATGTTTTATGTTTTATCATGTTTTTAATATTCTGTTGGGGAAACCTAGCCAAATGGGTGGGGTATAAATAATAATAATAATAATAATAATAATAATAATGGATTATCACAACTTTCTTTTTAACCTAGGATTGCTAATTCACAGTTTGTAAGTGTGAGCCAGTTTACTAGTTGTTAACAGGGCTGGCCAACTCATGAGGCAAGGAGAGGGGACTGCCTCAGGCAGCAGGAACTACAAGAGCAGCAGATCCCAATGTATATTTTTATTCCGCCCTTGTTCCTGATCTAGATTGTCACTCACCCCTTCTTTCCTGGTGGGGCTGGTTGTGCCATTTTGTGGTTTGCCTCAGGTGCAAAAATGTCTTGGGCTGGCTCTGGTTGTTAATACATTCATAATCAGCCAATAGTTCCCTGGATTAATAAGACTCATTAAATACTAGCAACCATGTACCTGGCTTTGCTCAATAATTTTAAGAATCCAAAAGTTCAGGGCAGTTTTGAAGGTTCAGTCCACCATCTTAATTCAAAATGGCATCCAACTGTATCCAAACATAGAAGTTCTCCTGTTCCTTGAGGTTGGGTCTCCAACTGCATACCATATAGCTGATTCCCTGTGAAATACGTGGATAAATAGTTTGGTTAGTTTTGTAATTTGCAATGTAGTGCAGTGATGTGAAGGGAACTTAATTGGGCCACTCAGGGCTCAGAGGTTGGCCAACCTGGCTGCTTTGGGTGGTGTTAGATATGACATCAGTCCACTGGAAAACTATTGCCACAATGCTCAGAAATTTCCTTACCTTAGAATATATGAATGTTTCTGTTGAAATGTTTGTAAATTCTTTTCTAGTAAGGTACTCAGCACAATGCAAGGCAGTTGCTTTGCTTAGAAGCTGATAAATGTTTTGGATACTTTGGAAATATCAGCAAAATAATAATCCTTTTGCTGTTGATACCTACTGTTAGAAGATTAAAATGGATCCCACCAAATCTTCCGGAAGACCATCTCCTGGATTGTTACATAAATCTGCAAAATCCTGTTGCACTGCAAGGACATGTTCACCATATGGCCCATCATAATCTAGTGTTTCAGAAGTGAGTGGAATGAAAAATATAAGAGCCAATCTGTAATATTGGTTATAGATACAGTGGTTCAAACTTTTGCTGAGCCATAAGGCTCTCTGGATGGCCCTAGATAAGTCCCTTTTTCTTTGCTTGACCTTCCTCCAAAGGTGTGTCAGGATCATAGAATTGTACAGTTGGAAGTGACCACGAGGGTTGTTTAGTCTAGCTCCCTGCAATACAGGAACATTTCCCCCAACGTGGGGCTCAAACCCACAACCTTTAAACTGAGAGTCTCATGCTCTACTGACTGAGCTGTCCTGGCGTAAGGTCTATTGTTGTGAGAATATAATGGGGATGGATGAGAAGAACCTTGTATACACCACACTGTGCCCCTTTGAAGGAAAGGCAGGATACAAATGTAATAAAAGAATTGGATATCCAGTACTCCTTCATATATACTGCATTGAACATCTGAAGGCAGCCCTGTTTAGGGAAGTTTTTAATATTTGATGAATTATTGTACTTTAATCTTTTGTTGGAAGCCACCCAGAGTGGCTGGGGAAACCCAGCCAGATGGATGGGGTATAAATTATTATTATTATTGTTATTAATAATAATTTTATTATTTATTATTACAATAGTTGAAGTTCATGTATTCATCACTCTAACCCAATGGGGCTTTAGTGTTCACACAGATGTCATTCAGGAATAGAAATAAATGAGAATCTGAATAAGTACCTCTTAAAAGGATAATGGATTTATTTTCTGTTTCTCTGTTTTCTGTAATACCAGGTCCCTTATTTTGTATGCATGGTGGTACAGTCATAATTGAGAAAGTTTTTATATCGGTAATAAAAATGAAATTTGATTGGCTAGTAATAGAAGGTCCTGTTCGTGAAAACAATCACTTTGTCATGCAGTTCCAATTAACTGAAACTGCTGTGGTGATATAGCAGCTATAAAACATTGATCTTCACTGCATGTGCATTAAAACTGCTCTAGGGTGATTATATTATATTTTAATTTTTTGAAATGTATTTAGGAGATTTTTCTTGGCCCAACATTGGGTCATGACTTTTGTCTGGATGTTGACTCCCCGCCCCCCTTCTTTAATGGCCTTTATCGTCTCTGGAGAAAGTGTATACAGTCTCTCCCGGTCTTAATAGCTTTGCTTTTCATGCTTGTTCATCTGGACTCCTTTAAAAGCACAGAGAATGTTAGTTTTCTAAAACATTGCCCCCTCCACTTGGGAAGTTGCGTTTGTTTGAACATGCTGAGCAGAGTCTGTTGCTCTAATGCACTAATGATTAAATATAAAATGATGACCAAATCATTTATGAAGCGATAAGAGGCTTTTCGTGATTATGTTGACTGGGTAATGAAGAAATCATTTGCTTGCGTTTCTTTCTGCAAAATCTTACGGGTTTTAGCTGCGGATCAGCACAACACTGCTTTCTCACACCAGGGAAGCAACGTATTTTCCTCTGTAATGTTATAAATGGTCATCATATGCCTTTATTTCAAACTGGTTGTCACACAAGGCAGTGCCGTGTTCTGTTTTGTGGAGACGTCTAGTGTAACCTGTTCTCCCTTAGACACGTGACGATTTATAGAGATTAATCGTGTATGTATCACTCTCAGGATAAGAAAATGTATTTCCCATGCCACTTGGAAAGTGAACATCTTGGTTTTCAGATGGTATCAGACCTTAATCTTTCTTAAAGCGGCAACTTTGCTGAAATATCAGTTCGATAGTGTTAGGCCAGAAAAAAAAACTGTTGCAGATGTGATAGATTAGTGGATGCAAAGAAGAGAGAATTTTCCTAAGCTCTCATTCACTCTTTGTAAATGAAAAAGAAAATGAGGGGATTTTCTTTTCTGTGGTTGCTGCAGTGGGTGGGGAAGAGGGACATATTTATTTACCAAAGTTGAGAGATTTCCTTTCTAATCTTATACTGTGAGAAATGACTTAAAATGAAAACAAAAGCCAGACATTCACTGCATGCTGGCTGATCCCTTATATTTGCCAGACGTTCACCTTCCGAGCATCACAGAGTTGTTTAAAAATAAATCTCTTCCATGTAATTTTGATGTATGAGGTTGAACCCTGATTGCACTCATAATAAATATGTAGAATGCCACACAAAGTGCTTTTGTAGACAAAAAGCTACCTCTCTCCAATAAGGCTTCAAGTAACAAAGCAGACAGGATAACAAATGTGCCTATGTTAAACTAAAAAAACACAGTATTAAATTGACATGTTGTACAATGTCTGCGACCAAAGTGTTGAGAAAATTTGGATATAAAAGGCAATCCTTCAAATACACAGATATGTTGGAAACCTTTTCATTTAACCAGTTATGTAAGCTGCATTTCCAACGTTTCTAATTTATATAACTTCTCCAAGGCTGAAAGGGGTTTTCATTGATAAACCAATTCTTCAGATTCAGTAAAGGCAGCCGACCTTGAACAAATCTTTGGCAAGTGTCTGTCACAAACCATACTCAAAATTTGAGAGTACCTCTGTGATATACGCTGCAGTACATACCCATCATTTGGTGGAGGTTTGCTATTAACTGTCTATTAACAGTCTATTAACTGTACAATCCTATACATGCCTAAAAGGTAAAGATAAAGGGACCCCTGACCATTAGGTCCAGTCGTGACCGACTCTGAGGTTGCGGCGCTCATCTCGCTTTATTGGCCGAGGGAGCCAGCATACAGCGTCCGGGTCATGTGGCCAGCATGACAAAGCCGCTTCTGGCGAACCAGAGCAGCGCGCGGAAACGCCGTTTACCTTTCCGCTGGAGTGGTACCTATTTATCTGCTTGCACTTTGAGGTTCTTTTGAACTGCTAGGTTGGCAGGAGCAGGGACTGAGCAACGGGAGCTCACCCCGTCGCGGGGACTCGAACCGCTGACCTTCTGATCGGCAAGTCCTAGGCTCTGTGGTTTAACCCACAGTGCTACCCGCGTCCCTATACATGCCTACACAGAACTAAATCCTATGGAGTTTAGTGGGGCTTCCTCTCTTGAACTTTTGTAGGATTGTAACCCAAATAGGGCTGAGTAATATCTGGTTTTCCACATCATGATATATCACCAGCTAAACATTGTGATATACCAATATATCACACTGTCTGAAATAAGTATGGAACTATGTAGAGCTGAACAGTAGGGCTGGGCGATATATGTTTTTCAACATTGCGATATATCACCAGCTAAGCTTTGTGATATACAGTGGTGCCTCGCAAGACGAAATTAATCCGTTCTGCGCGTTTCTTCGTCTTGCGGATTTTTTCGTCTTGCGAAGCACGGATGCACCCTGGTACTGTATTATAATGGGATAGCGGGCAAAGCACAAAGCGGGTCGCTCCCCAGCAGGAGGAGTTTCCCCAGCCTGGAGGATCTGTTGCCGGGAAGAGGCAAAGACACCCCCCTCCCACCTCCCCACGAAAACAGCCCCCCTTCCTCTGTCGCCAAGCCTTGCCGCGTCTTCGCTCGGCCAAACCGCGTCCCACATCAAAGCCCCAGCCCGCTCCTCTCCCTCTCTCTCCACGAGGTGCCAAAGGAAGTTTGAGCCCAGGGCGGACGCACGAAGCGCCCGGCGCGGACTCTCCCTTGCTCCCCCCGTTACCTTGCGCCATGCTGCCAGGCTCCCCACAGTCTCGGCAGCTGCTCCCGGCTTCTTCCCACCCCCGCAAAGGCGCCTTCGCGGCGGCCCAAGCGCAGTGAATGCCTCCTCCTCCTCCTCCTTGGTCCCCCTCCTCCTGCCTTCGCGCAGTTAGGGCAAAATGGAGCAGCCACGTGGGGAGGGGGGGGAGAGAGAGGCAGAGGCGGTGGCGGTGCAGAGACCCAGCCAGATCCGCTGGATCCCAGCCCACCTGCCTCCTCTGTGCCCTCTCCAGAAGAGGATCCCTCTGGAAAAGGTAGGTCGCTCCCTGCCAGCCCAGTTCCCGCTTCAAAAGGAAACAAACTCGCAAGACGTTTCGTCTTGCGAAGCAAGCCCATAGGGAAATTCGTCTTACGAAGCACCTCAAAAAACGAAAAACTCTTTCGTCTTGCGAGTTTTTTGTCTTCCGAGGCATTCGTCTTGCGAGGTACCACTGTACTGATATACCATGATGTCTGAAATAAGGATGGAGCTGTGTAGAGGCACTGGCTGGCTTCACAGTTTTTCCTGCATTGTGATTTTTGCATAGCGCGCGCACACACACAAACACATATATGTTGCCAGGTCAAAAATGAGAAACTGATATCACAATATAGACTTCAAACTGGTTTTGAGTGATATATAGGCCAACCCTAACATGTGTCATGATTCATGATGTGTTACCAGGTTAAAAATTATGAAACCATTATCACAATATGGGGTTCAAACTGGTTTTGTGTGGTATATTATATATCGCCCAACCCAAAGCCCGAATTGCAGAATGATCAACAGCACAGCATAGGAAGGCAAGTAGAATTGCAAGCCGGATTATAGCCTATAGAGCCAGGTACCCTGCCTATATCTGTCCAAGAGGGCAACTGGCAGTATGAAGAGCACATCTTGAGCTGCATACTGGGCCATAATATCAGATACCTGACAGCAGCCTATAAGCAAGTACAGTCGTACCTTGGATCCTGAACGCCTTGGTACTTGAACGTTTTGGCTCCTGAACGCCGCAAACCTGGAAGTGAGTGTTCTGGTTTGCGAACGTTCTTTGGAACCCAAACGTCCGACGGGGCTTCCGCGGCTTCCGATTGGCTGCAGGAGCTTCCTGCAGCCAATCAGAAGCCGTGCTCTGGTTTCCGACCAAATTTGGAAGTGGAATGGACTTCCGAGGTACGACTGTACTCTGGTTTTGGAATTATGTTATCAGACGTATATTAACAAACTGGCACTTAGGTTTATGAGGAGAGAGAAAGAGCAAAGAAAACAAACTCATGTGAGCCAGTGGAATACTCTTAAGAATAATTGAACACTTATCTTGTCGAGTAGGCGACCAGGTTGTTACCCGTTGTTTTTTTTAAAAGGCCATGTGTTGGATCCAGAATTCACTCCTGTCAGTGAGAGCACCCCCAAGGGCAGTTGCATTCAGAGGATGCCCCTGCTAGTGGGATGGGAGGTTACTTTTTGCTAGTTTTTCCCTACCCCCGGAAGCCCCCAGTGCCATAGAGGGTTGAGTGACTTTCAGGCCTTTGGTGGCACTGGGGGTTGCAGGTGGAGGGGGAACCTGCAAAAGTTGAATTGCCTCTGTCTGCCAGCTTGATTCCTCACCTGTTTCAAAAGCCTTCCCATTCTATCTGCAGAAGGTGAACTCTGGATCCTGTGCCATGTTTTTTCTTGTACAGTGGTACCTTGGGTTGCAGATGCTTCAGGTTACAGACACTTCAGGTTACAGACTCCGCTAACCCAGAAATAGTACCTCGGGTTAAGAACTTTGCTTCAGGATGAGAACAGAAATCGTGTGGCGGCGGCAGCAGGAGGCCCCATTAGCTAAAGTGGTACCTCAGGTTAAGAACAGTTTCAGGTTAAGAACGGACCTCCAGAACGAATTAAATTCTTAACCCGAGATACCACTGTACCATGATCCCAGTTGAGTTTTGGGCATGGGGTTGCATCCAGAGAACTGAGCAGGAGGGAAATTTCTGCTGCTTCTGTTTGCAAATTCTTGCATGAGAGGAACACTCTAATAGATACGGTAGGTTCTGTATTATGCTCTGCAAGCAGAATAGCATTTTGGGATTTTGTTGAGTGAAAAATGTGAAAAAATTGTTTGTGAAAGATGTACTTCCATGAGCTTAAGTTCTCCTTTCTTATGTGGGATCCAAACTATGGATTTTAACTAGAATTTGTCATTGGGCTAGCAACTGATTTACTGTGCTATTCTTGGTAATTACTCAGAAGTAAAGTTCAGTGGCACTTACTCTCTCTAAGTGTGTATAGGATTGCAGCCTCAGTTAGGGCGAGGAAAGATGATAGATGTGTTCACCTACTTCTGAACCCAGGAATATTTTTCATTTTCAAAATAAAGTGTATGTGTGGGGGAGGGGTTTGCTACATTTTTAAGAGCCTTTGAATCTCCATCTCAATGAACTTGTTTTCATGACCCTTTCTGGTGAAAGGTCTGAGTACATCTTGAAATTGATCATGCCTTCATATAGGTATTTACGTTGGATGACGATGATGAGGCAGCTAATTCATAAAGGGATGTATTTGTGCATTCTTTATTGATCACTCCTAATGGATGAGAGTTCTTTTTCACTGTTGTTCCAAACTGACTGCAGGCTTATTGAAGTAATAAAGGCTAGTTTAAAATTATCAGCATTTTCATGTGCCTGTGAGGCAGTAGAAGTATGGTTTAAAATTAACTTTTCTATTTTTAAAGGATAGCAAACAGGTGGTAGATTTGCCTATACATCTTTCTAGGAAACAGGTCATTTTTTAAAAAAATCTCCTGCGGAATCCATAGCCTTCCAGATGTTGTTGGACTCCAACCTCCAGCATTGTTAATTATTGTTATTATTATTATTAATTATCATCATCATTTATTTCTTTATTTCATAAAATTTACACACTGTTTGATTGAAAAACCCTCACAGTTGTTGCAGATATGGCCATCTCTAATGGCCACAGGTGACGACAGTTGTGGTCTAGGAACATCTGGAGATGTTCCACAGGTTCCACATCCCTGCCAATGTAAGTCCTGCTGGTACAAGTTCCGCCTGCTGATCCAGCATGACCCCTGCTCAGTTGGGTTGTGAAAGTTATGCTGGGTGATCCCTGGCTGAGCCAGGATGAAGATGTATTGTTGGTGTGGTCCAGGCTGACTGAGGACAGCCCAATATCCATCCATTCCAAACTTGCTCATCCTGACTGATTTTGGGTATGGATTGTGCTGAAAGTCTTCCTAGCTGATGCTGAGCTACACAAGCGTATTGGCAAGGCAGCTACAGCAGTGGCTTGCCTCGTTGAAAGGGTATGGGCGAACGTGATGCCAACGATCAATACCAAGACGAAGGTTTACCAGGCTTGTGCGTTGAGCATGTTGCCCTAAGTGAGTTGTGGGCAACTTACAACCGCCAGGAGCGACGCCTCAATGCCTTCCACATGCACTGTGTCTGGATGATTTGGGGCATCATATGGCAGGACAAAGATGTGCTCTCCCAAGCTCACATTCCCACGATGTCCACGCTGGCTCGGTCATGTCCGCAGAATGGAAGATGGCAGGTTCCCCAAGGATGTGTTCTATGGGGAGTTGCCTTCAGGCACCAGGCCTGTTGGCAGACCAGCCCGGCACTATGTCTACATAGTGACATGAAGGCTGGCAACATCAGCCCTGCCATGTGGGAATTCCTTGCAGACAACTGCAATGCCTCGAGACAGACAATCTAAGTTGCATTCCCATAGCAGTGACCAGAGGAGGAATGACTGGTGGGAGGAGTGTGGCGTTCGTACGGCGCCCCCGGTCGTGTCACGGACTATTGACCCGTACACCACTAAACCACTGCCACCAACCAGATTCCCCCTAGTAAAAACACTTCAGTCTCAGTCAGCTTCTCAATTAATAAAGAAGAGTGTATTTTATTTCAGACACAAACAAAACTTTAAGGCATTCCAACTGTTGTTGTTCTTTACTTTCTTAGTCTTGTATTCCTCTCTCTATCTCTTCTGCCTCCCCACACTCAAGAACCCACTGGCCTAACTATCTCTTTATTACCAACTGCATTTCCCAACCAGCCAACCCACTAAATCCAACCAACTACCCACCCACAACTCCCAACCAACTCCTCCTCGAACTCCTCCCAGAACTGGTTTTATAGTCCCACTGACTCCACCCCCCTGGGTCCTGACTGGGCAACCTGGTTAACTATTTCCCCTCTCATATCTGTTAACGTCACAAGGAGTGCAGAGAGAAGAAATGGCGTGGTGCATCTGCAGCAGCACCACCAGATGCCTTCATCTGCCCCAGCTGCAACAAAACATGTCTCCCCTATATTGGTCTCTAAAGCCACAGCAGGTGCTGTAACTCTCCAAAGGTTTGATTTCACCCGACAAACGTGCACTCCTCCATTGTCTCCTGAGACTGATGGATGCCAACCCAGACTTCCTAGCTGTGGAGAAAGATCACACAGATCAGTCCATAAAGTTCTCCTCTCTCCTGTGAATAAGGCATTGATATATTTTGCTAGCAAAGGACTTCTTCTCTCTCAAGTCTTAATTTCTACTAGCTAGGATGGCTGGAGGTCAAACTTTCATGTGTTGTCCACCTTCATGCTGCAAAGCAGGCAATCTGTACGGGCAAAATAACAAGAATATTGTGCTTGCCTCAGGTATGCATGTTTGGGAAAAATAGACATGTTTTTGTGTTGGAAACAGGAAAAGGAAGGACCTTGGTGAAATGCTACAAAGCTTACAGAGGTGCTGAGGTGTCTCTGTGGAAATCTACGTTCAATCTTTACATTTGCGAATAAAACCAAATACTACAAAATGCTCCAAGTCTCCAGTCTTCCAAAGGAATCCATATCCAAGCCAGCACTACTCCTGAAGCTTCTTATTGCTTAGAGCAATGAGCATCATTGCAAGTCATTCTTGACGCTTCCCCCTTCAAACTAAAACCAGTTTTCATTTCTTGAGTCACCAGCCATGTGCTTGGCTTTCACCCTTCCCCTCCCTTCCCCTGGCATTAGTGTGATTTAGGTGAGATGGGCAAATAACAGCTAAAGACCGAAAGAATCTAGTTGCTGAAGGATAAACTTGGTTCGACTTCATTATTAGACAAATGATAAGTTTGTGTGGACTTATTATAACATTAATCAACCTGATGGATTGGAAATATGACAGAACTGAAGCAGCGTGTAATATTAGTGCCTATTATTCTACAAATTATGCCTTCACCTATTGTTCGCAAGGCAAGAGTCATGCTGTATATTAAAAAATGTTGTGTGCACATTTCCCCCTCTCTTGTTAAGATACCTCCCACCTCTTCACAGTTCTCATTGTTTTTCTTGCTCTCGCTAATTTGGAGGCTGTTGCCTTAAATCCAAAGATCAGAAAAAGCATGAGTAATACTGGTGAGCTGTCCTTCGTTTAAAATGAATTGATTGCTTTTATTTGGGTTTATAGCCAACCCCCCATTCCAGAAGCTCAGAATGGGCAACAAAAGCAACCCCCTCCCAGAAGAAAAATAATAATGGAATTCGCTGAAGTTTCTCTATGCTTCTTCTGTTTAATCCTGACCCTCAGAGGCTATTCTAAAAACCGGCCATGAAAATCTTCTGAATGCATTAATACTTCCATCAGCTTTATGGACTGGCAACTCAGTTATGCTGTCTATTTGTATGGGTGGAATCTAGAGTGGTCCTTCAGTTCATGGTGAAAACAGGGATCCTGTAGAGGCTTCCCAAGGAAGGGGGAAGGAAAAGATTTCAGTTGATTTTCCCTTCCATGACTCCCATGCTGTTCAGAAGGTTCCCCCAACCTCTCTTCTTTCAAGGGGCACAGGAATTGTTTATATTATTATTAACTGTACTTATTAAAAACAAGCTTCTAAAACCAATTTTTCCTGTTCAGTACTCCGTAGAAATCTTTATACAGTACATTTGTGTTGCCTCTCTCATCTCCAGAATTTATTTCTCCAGGGTGCAAGCTTTGGTGTTAAAGTAATAAATGTTGTAACGAAAGAAAGTTTCGCTATAACACTTGGATATGATTAGCTTTTTTCCAGGCGCATAGAGTTACAGATGTGTGTGAATGTATTTAATATTAAAGGTCAGGTTGCATTTGTGATACCAGATGCTTTACGGTCCCGTCCAACTTTTCTGAAAAGACAGGTTAGTATATTGCAAAAAGTGGAAGGGGCAAATAATTATACACTAGAGTGGTTTTGTTAGTATTCTGGTTTCTGGATCATGTAGAGAGTAATGTTTCTGACTGCAGCAAAAGCATTAGTTGTGGTAATTAAGTTGAGCCAATCATTTAAAGTTTATTTTATATATGAAAATGATTTGTATCCAAGTGGTATCTAAAGCAGCTAAATTGAACAGTATCTTAATTTTTACTCATAGACAACGCATTTGAATGCGGATTAGTTCAGTGTGCAATTCGGGCTTTCAGGCCACCCTGCCTTTTAACCACACACTGCAAAGTGTACGGCGGCTGGCAGTGCTAGCCTATCAGTACTGCTGATCAGTTGTTCAGTGATATACATTCGTATGGTGCATGATGAATTGGTGAGACGCAAATTCTCAAGAGTAAAGACAATTTGTACTCCCTTGTTTCCCCTTTTAATATAGCATAGCGAAGAAATGTTGTACGTAACTGCTTTTCACAGTGGGTTCTAAAAAGGCATGTTTCCCCGCTCCCACAGTTTTCATTGGTTAAGTCATTTCATTTATAATTTTATCTTTAAGTTGCCTTTCTGCACACACACACACAAACAATAAACAAACAAACGTGCCAAAAGTGGCTTACCAGAAAGAGAACAGCAACACATCTCAAAATCAACAATCGGAGGAGCAATTTCATCATAACAGGAATAATGAGACAGCAGCTTAATAGCAAATATATCAACAGTGTGCATTACACATCCCGGCAACAGCAGAAACAACAAGGGAGCTTGATAGTTTTAGTTTGGTCCTGTAAACGCACCTCCCGTGATGTTCCTCCCGCATATATTTCATGTGAATCTTATCTTCATGAATGGCTCCATATGTGTTTAGCTTTCCGGACAACTTTTTAAAGTAAAGCTGGTTTAAAACAAAACAACAAAGCAAAGCGAAGCACACACACTAAACTTTTCTTCCACTCCCAAATTCTCAGTTGTTCTTCAAACATTATTCTCCTGCTGCTTTGCCTGTTAAGAATATTTTGGCACCTTCTTCAGAAGGTGTACTCCCTTGCGCATGAATGCATCCTCCTTCAGCATATTCTTCAGTTTCTTTAACACTTGATGGTGTTTCATTCAAAACTTAAGTGTGTATTTTGACGCTTCCTCCCCCTCCCTTCATCCTTTTCTCAACCATGTCAATATCAATCTGATTAACTCTTCTAAAACATGTCATCTTCGGCAGTAACCTGTTTGCCATTTTATCTAGGTTTCATCCTTATATTATCTGGGTTTTAATTTTGCAGCGCTAGTTTGCCAGGCCTTTTCCACTTCATTGAGGTGGAAACTGAATTTGGCTTAAATGCATCTAACTTTTGCAGGGTTGTTGTTGTTTTTAAATGCAAATGGCATCAGCTGGGTGGGGAGCTGGTAACTGACAGGGTCAGAGAAGGGTGGAATCTAATCCATTTTGTCCTGCTGGCATATTGGACTCAATCTCTCTTCTGAAGCTGTTTTCAGAAAGGAGAATAAAGGGGTTAGGGCAATTGGATGTAGATGGGCTTACCTCTAGTGGGAGGGTAGAGCAGCTCATGACCATATGTTGTCGTGATTGGTAGGTATTTTGTGGTTCGAGGACCCGATCCCCGCTTTGTGGAATGAAGACACACAGACACAGAGTATAAGGTTAATGGGCAAGAAAAGGCCACAACTTTATTGATTACAGCAAGTGAGAAGGTATTGGCTTAGGCATTGGACCACGACAGATTGAGTCCACCCACTCAGAGAGGGGTGAGCCCAAAGGGGGTTTATTCACCAGAAGGTGGAGCCTGTTGATGCTAATACAACTATAATCTCTCCCCGATGTCACCGAGGGTCGTGCCATGGCCCCCTGCCACACAGGCATTGGACAGGATCCACGACCGCCAGATTCCTTTAACGAAATACCCAAATTTGAAAGGGTAGGCGATGGCCACACCTACCCCTTCCGCACACCATCAACACATTCCAATGCCTAACCTAACCGCCAATACCAATAAAGTTGTGACGATTGCTACGAGGTAGGCGAAAAAACCAAAAAGCCTAATGCCAATTGGAAAAATTCCTACCAGGCCCCCTGGGCAACCTGGGCGACCAACCTAAGTTCCATAGCAAGGTCAAGAGAAAAACTAAGCCCTAAGCTCTAAGGGAGTGGAGGGTGGGTGACTCGCAACGAGAAGGCGGAAAATGAGGCAGAATGGCTGGCACAGCAGTAAGTTAAACTGCAAACCGCGCCCCCTCCAAGTCACCCGGTTGGGCGCTTACCTGTGGGCGTGGTGCGCCAGCCAGGTGAGTGGGGCAGGGGGCGTAACACCCCCTGCGTGATGCAAAATCGCGTCCCGCCCACAACACCTCCCCTCTTGGATGAGGAGAGGCTTTGTAGTTTTGCTATTTTATATTGTTTTGATTGATTTATTGTGTTTAACATACTTGTAATAGTCAGTATCTAGCTAAACAGATCCACTACTAGTGCAAGGATTTCTGCTTGTGAAATGCAACTTTCCCTCTCCTCTTCCCTGCCCCACACCTTTCCAAATCTGCTCTGGATGATTGGGGGAATCCCCAAAAGTGATTGAGGATAGGGAGGAGAAGTTCCGTGGTGCAGATGGAAACCCTTGTACTAACAGATCTGTTTAGCTGGATACCACCCATTGTATCCTTCTTCTTTTGTTCACCGCTTTGGGGTCCTTGGGCCCCAAAGTGGTATATAAATATATTATAACAGTAACGTACTCTAATGGTTTGGCAGATGTGCGATTTGATGTGTGTCGTATAATAGGCATGTTATGGTGGTTATACTGGAAAATGTTTGTTAAAGTGCAGATCTTGACTCCTCACCTGTCTAGGACAGGGTTTCTCTACAACTTGGGTCTCCTGCTGTTTTTGGACTACAACTCCCATCATCCCTAGCTAGCAGGACCAGTGGTCAGGGATGATGGGAATTGTAGTCTCAAAACGTCTGGAGGGCCGAGGTTGAGGAAGCCTGATCTAAACAGAGAGGGTTCTGGTGTTTTTTGTTTTTGTTTTTAATAATAAAAACCCCTAATGACTAATGCTCATTTTGGCTTCTTTAAATTCTGAATGAATCCAATTGTTTTCTTTCTCCTTCTGCAGCTGCAGAACCTTGGCCTCAGAACGCAGCATTGTATCAGCCGCTGAAAGGTGAGTACTTTATTTATTTTTTGCACTTAACGGGGGGGGGGCTTCATTAAATATGCAGCGATGTAATTAACTGGAGCCTGGCGGGTGCGAAGGGGAGGGGGTAAGTGGGGAGAAAGAACCTTGTTAAAACGAGCATCCTTTGTGGTGGTCGTCCGGCCATAGGTTTTTGCTAAACTTGTACCTGCCAATATAAGCCAGCTATTCATGGCCTTATAAGGTCCTTGGTTTATTATTGACTCATTATATTGGCTGCTGTAGGCAGTGTAAAATGATGTGGTTTGCAGGCCCAGTTGGCAGATTTACTGCGCCAATAGCTGAGGCAGCAGATTTTTGAAGTCTTGTGGTAAAGTGGGCTCCCGGTAAAAAGGAACTGTTAAAATGTATAGGCTAGGATGGTTCAGGCTCCCTTTAGCAGCTCTTCATATATCATCAGATCACATTATGGCCCCCATTTGGGGCTCAGCAGCCTGCTACAGTTGTCAGAAGACTGCAAAGTAATGAAGACTAATAGGTAGCAGCCCTAGTCTTCTAAGCATGGGATTTTTATTGCTGTGTACTTGTCATCTTTCTTTTGTGTGACAGACCTAGACACAGTGCGCAATATTAACTGCAAGCTGGTTTTATATATATATATATATATATAATTTCTGTATGCTTTTACTTTTTAGCAAGAGGAATTATGAAGTTGTTTGTTTTTATTTCTATTAGGAAATGAATAATTGCCCGTTTATTTTATTTTTTAAAAAGAAAAAGCCCAAGGCATGCGCACACACAAGAACTTACACACACACACACACACACACACACACACACATATCGGTTAGGGATTTTAACTGTTGGGACCATACGATAAATTGCAGGGCAGAGCTAAAGGAAATATTTCTGAGACCACAGGCTTCCTAAAGCTACATTAATGTAATGGGGCATGTGATTCGTGTTAAATCAGTTTGTCTCCTTATGTTTGTACACCATTTATTTTTGCACCCCCAAATGATCTGCAATTATCCATTGGGGAAGGAGTCATTATTTCCAATAATTGTCCTGCACTTTCTTTATTTATTTTACAGATGAACAAGTTTTGCTTTCTGATAATGCTGCTTGTCTTGCTGTTCAGGTAAAAGCATCGTTCTACTTTCCTACTTGGCACGTGTTAATGTATCCGAGAACAACTGGCCCCATCCACTGAACATTTCATTAATGTATGCCCTTCTGAAATGAAAAGGACTTTTGCACCGTTGTGTTGTACTGTGTTCCCGTTGGATGTACACGGGCAATGCTCTTTTCTCTCTGGAGGCATAGCAAAAATGTGAAGCAAAATATTTTATCGCACTTCAGCTGCGTCTAGACAACGTGGTAAGCCACAAACCAGGGCTTACTGTGAAAGAGTAGCATGCCAATACATGCTTCTGAATTGCTCCCACCATGATTGTGTAGCATGAGTAGGAATAACAAACCACGAGCCTTGGCGTTCCGTGAGGTCCGAACCAGCCCTTGTGGTTTGTTTCTCTCTAAGCGTGCTATGACCCGGAAGCCAAGAACAAACCTTGGATTCAGATTGCGGTTTCTTTGAAAAGAAATGTCACTATCGCTGTGCATCGCATTAAGTCCTGGCTCATGGTTTGCTGCTTCCTCTTGCATTAGGGGAGGAACGCGCTGATGGATGATTGGGTAGCATGAACTCGGATGCCATTCTGTCATGGCAAGCCATGGTTTAGGGCTTGTCATGGCATCCAAACGGGACTGCTGTCCCCACCTTAGGCGTTGTCAGTGACATTTGGGCCAATCATGCATGACAAGACCTACTTTTTGAGAGAGGAGCAGCAGGACACAAGGTAGCAAGCGGCAACATTGTCCCTAACACAGGATGAGCTCATGTATTTTATCCAGAACCGTACGAGTACAGCATTAGATGTCTTGCAATCTGCACTGACTCAAAGCAGGGCCTTAAGTGTAGCTGCCCCTCATAGACTCATAGAATTGTGGAGTTGGAAGGGACCCCAAGGATCATCTGGTCCGGGGGTCAGCAATCTTTTTCAGCTGTGGGCCAGTCCACCGTCCCTCAGACCATGTGGTGGGCCGGACTATATTTTTTGGGGGGAAATGAACGAATTCCTATGCCCCACAAATAACCCAGAGATGCATTTTAAATAAAAGCACACATTCTACTCAAGTAAAAACATGCTGATTCCCGGACCGTTTGCGGGCCGGATTGAGAAGGCGATTGGACTACATCCGGCCCACGGGCCTTAGGTTGCGTACCCCTGATCTAGTCCAACCATCTGCAATGCAGGAATTTTTCGCCCAGCCTTGTTCTGTGGAACATTTCTGCCAAAATACAACACTAACCCCAGCCTTCCTAGCTGGATGAATAGGTCTCTGCTATGAGTGCCTGTTTACTCTTGGTGTGTGTTTTTTTAAAAAATCTGCTGCTATTTTGCATATAGTTTTAAACAATTTTTAGCTGTTTTTATTGCCCTCTGTCCATTGCCTTGGGATGTGTGTGCAAGGAGATAAATAGACAATAATATATCCATATACAGTGGTACCTCAGGTTAAGTACTTAATTCGTTCCGGAGGTCCGTACTTAACCTGAAACTGTTCTTAACTTGAAGCACCACTTTAGCTAATGGGGCCTCCTGCTGCTGCCGGAGCACGATTTCTGTTCTCATCCTGAAGCAAAGTTCTTAACCCGAGGTATTATTTCTGGGTTAGCGGAGTCTGTAACCTGAAGCGTATGTAACCTGAAGTGTATGTAACCCGCGGTACCCTTCCATATCTGTAGGCTTCCCACTGATGTCATTTGGATATTTATCCTCTGCTATATTTTATAGCTGACCCACCCAAGTTCATGCTTTTGCAGTCAGAGGAGTATTTGTATACAAAATTAAACCCTTATACTCTGTAAAAGTTTATATGCAAGAACTAGCAGCCTCTGGTGCCTTATTCAGAATTAAAATTGGGTAGGATGCCCAGTTTTTCCATAAGCATTTGCTGGAGAAGTGGTTTGGATTAGCATTACATGCAAACTGAGCCAAAGTCGAAGTGAAAAAGGATATTTTATGTGCCGTAGAGGGAAGATACAAACTTGGAATTGTACTACAGTCGTACCTTGGTTGACGAATGCCTTGCGACTTGAACGTTTTGGCTCCCGAACACTGCAGACGCAGAAGTGAGTGTTCTGGTTTGCGAACGTTCTTTGGAACTCGAATGTCCAATGCGGCTTTTGCAGCTTTCACGGCTTCCGATTGGCTGGAGGAGCTTCAATCAATTGGCTGCAGCCAATCGGAAGCCTTGCCTTGGCTTCCGAACATTTTGGAAGTTGAACGGACTTCCGGAACGGATTCCATTTGACTTCCGAGGTAGCACTGTGCTTGGAATTTGAAACAAACAGATGTGAACCACCCTGAAACCTCTGTGTATAGGGTGGGGTATAAATTCAATAAATAATAATAACAGTAATGTCTTCAGAGCTGAACAGCACTGTTAAAAAGGTGTTTTGTTTTCTCTTTTCTCATTTATAAATGGGGGGGGGGGAGAGGGAACAGTGATGTAACTGTTTGCAGTGTTGAAAAAACAAAGTTCATAATCGTTGTGAAATGTTTCCATGCTCTGTATTAAAATGACACTCTAAAACGTAAGCAAAAAGACCTAAAACTGAGGGTGATAGCCAGTCTTAGTTATACTCCAGAGTAGACTTCATGAAGTCAATGGACTTGAAAGTCTATTGATTTTAATAGGTCCACTCACTGGACATTGATCTAGGACAAGGGAGTAAGAACTAAGTGAGATTTACAGCACAATCCTCTACATGACTACTCAGAAGCAAGTCCCACAGAGGCAGGAATCCTAGGCACATGTACTTGGGAATACGACCTACTGTGTCTGAACGGGAGTTACTTCTGAGTAAACATGTACAGGATTGTGCTTATCAGAAGGCATACAAAGATGTAAAGGTTTATTAAAAGTAATACATAACAATAAAGCCCAAAATGTAAAAAGTCACATTCAGAGAAATGTTTGAAAAAAGCAAGAAATTTACATGTTAGTAAAACTATGCTGCAATCTTTTTAAAAAGTGTTTTTCAATTTTTAATTCAAAAAGGGGTGTTAGATGGGGGAAGTGAATAAAGTACATAAATAATACTAATTTTGATGGGTGACACTGATCACAAGCACCCCCAATTATGGGGCACAATTGTAGTTAATAATATTGATTTCCACTAATGTGGAAAGCGCTGTTATTTTGATAAGCAAATATTAGTGTAATATATAATCATTTTAGCTAATCCTTGGATAAAGAAGTAGATTACACCATTAAAAGTTTTAAACCCTATATTATAGTTTTTGGAATACACATGTGTATATAGAGCAAGTGTTAATAATTACCTTCATCAGCATAATAATATTTTTAAAACAAGGTCCCCCCCCCCGCCGAAGGAGTATATTGTTTGATTATTTCCATTTTGTTGTTCTACACATGTCACTTAGATGATAAATTAACCATAATATATTAAAAGAACGTCTTTATCTTCAATATTCTTTGGTCTGACAGCTGATAGTAGCCATGACTATAAATATGATTTCAACAGATATCTGATTTTAAACTTTATGGAACAATTTTCTTTGATGTAAGGGGATGGTATCTGTTTTAAGAATCTGTATTAAGAATACACTGCTGATTCCTTTTTTTAAAAAAAAACATACTTATTTTTCTAAATAATAATATTGCTCCAATCTGTTAAGGTTAGTTTACTAGCTATTTTTAAGCAATGACTAATGAAAATATCAGTCTGGTTATCTCTTTCTGATGTTCAGACTTGCATGTTGTGGTGGAGACAATGGTAATTATTATTTACTGAATTTATATACCAGCCTATACCCGGAGGTCTCTGGGCGGTTCACAGAACAAAACAATCCATTCTTCTTACATCTTGGTTAGATTGATGTGAAACTTTGTTGCGGTAAAAACGTAAAGGTAAAGGGACCCCTGACCATTAGGTCCAGTTGTGGCCGACTCTGGGGTTGCGGCACTCATCTCACTCTATAGGCCGAGGGAGCAGACAGCTTCCGGGGGTCATGTGGCCAGCATGACTAAGCCGCTTCTGGCGAACCAGAGCAGCGCACAGAAACGCCATTTACCTTCCCACCGGAGCGGTACCTATTTATCTACTTGCACTTTGACGTGCTTTAGAACTGCTAGGTTGGCAGGAGCAGGGACTGAGCAACGGGAGCTCACCCCGTCGCAGGGATTTGAACTGCCGACCTTCTGATCGGCAAGTCCTAGGCTCTGTGGTTTAACCCACAGCGCCACCCGCGTACCACCCATAATGTGGAATGTGTTTCTTGTGGAGCTGCTTGATATATGGCCAGGCCATACAAAAATTGCCAGGTGCCAAGGCGCATTTCGCACCTGGCTATCAGCCACTTGTGATCAAGTTAAGATGCTGGGTCACTGGAATGGCTCCTGATGTCTCCTGGGTATCCATGGATCCCCAGCTAGGAGGGTCAGTTGTTTGGGATTCTGGGAGCTGTGGTCCAATAACATCTGGAGGCAGCTGGTTGGGAAGGTCATCATTTACAACAAGAGCCCCTTTCGGACATTTGGAAGGAGGGAGTTTCTGAAAGTATTTAGGAAGAGAGTGGCAGGCTTTGTCTCCCCACCCCTGGACACGTTTTGTCATACATCTGCAAGGCACCTATACAGTGGTACCTCAGGTTACATATGCTTCAGGTTACATACGCTTCAGGTTACAGACTCTGCTAACCCAGAAATAGTACCTCGGGTTAAGAACTTTGCTTCAGGATGAGAACAGAAATCGTGCTCCGGTGGCGCGGTGGCAGCGGGAGGCCCCATTAGCTAAAGTGGTGCTTCAGGTTAAGAACAGTTTCAGGTTAAGAACGGACCTCCGGAACGAATTATGTACTTAACCCAAGGTACCACTGTACTCCTGAGCATCTGAAAGGGTCTCAGGACGTTGATTAATCTGTGGTGTTTCAACCCTTGTCTCTTTCTCTGAGTGTGTGTGTCTGTTAATTTGTGAGTTTCACTACAAAGGTAAATAAGTTCTGTTGCACTTTAGAGTGAATGGCGGCAGGGGTGGGGCGGAAATGCTGTACGTTCAAATACTGGGATGCAGTTGGCGCTGTGGTCTAAACCACTGAGCTTCTTGGGCTTGCCGATCAGAAGGTCGGTGGTTCGAATCTCTGCGATGGGGTGAGCTCCCATTGCTCTGTCCCAGCTCCTTCCAATCTAGCAGTTCGAAAGCATCCCAGTGCAATTAGATAAATAGGTACCACTGTGGCAGGAAAGTAAATGGCATTTCCGTACACTCTGGTTTCCGTCACGGTGTTCCCGTTGCAACAGAAGCGGTTTAGTCATGCTGGTCACATGACCCAGAAAGCTGTCTGTGGACAAACGCCAGCTTCCTTGGCCTGAAAGTGAGATGAGCGCCACAACACTATAGTCACCTTTGACAGGACATAACCGTCCAGGGGTCCTTTAACTTTTACCTTTACCTTACATTCAAATACTGGAGTTTAAATGATCCAGGATTGCAAAAGCTCATACTCTGCCTGTAACTCCATTGCAGGCATATTAGTTCTTGTGGTCCAAACTTTGACCTAGCTCAATAGCAAAAGCCACAGCCATTTCATACTGAGTCTAAAGTTACCCAAAGTTAACCATTCCGTTCTGTTTTTTTATTCCTAACCCCAGAAGATTTAAGTTGAAAGCCAGCTTAATTAGAATTCACAATACTGGTTTGATATAGGCCCCATATACCATTCATTTACTACCGAAGTTCAGTTTTATCACTATTGAATATGAGGAATTGCAAAAGGGGAGGAGACACCAATTAAAAGGGTTGAATTTTGAATAGTTTCCATTTAGAAGCTGTTTCTTTGTATGTGAGGGCGAATATATTTAGTACCAATTCAATATGATCCACTTCTACCTTACTGTGTGAATTGCTAACAGTTAAGGAAGGCTGCACGAGTCTACTTTAGGTGGTTTTTTTCTCATTCTAATTTCTTGCTGTTTAAAAAATGGGATATGCTTGATAGTGTGAAAGTTTTAGGCTGCAATCCTAATCAGTAGGGCTGGCTTCTGAGTAGACATTGCACTATTAGTATTCATAGAATCATAGAATCATAGAATCATAGAGTTGGAAGAGACCACAAGGGCCATCGAGTCCAACCCCCTGCCAAGCAGGAAACACCATCAGAGCACTCCTGACATATGGTTGTCAAGCCTCTGCTTAAAGACCTCCAAAGAAGGAGACTCCACCACACTCCTTGGCAGCAAATTCCACTGTCGAACAGCTCTTACTGTCAGGAAGTTCTTCCTAATGTTTAGGTGGAATCTTCTTTCTTGTAGTTTGGATCCATTGCTCCGTGTCCGCTTCTCTGGAGCAGCAGAGAACAACCTTTCTCCCTCCTCTATGTGACATCCTTTTATATATTTGAACATGGCTATCATATCACCCCTTAACCTCCTCTTCTCCAGGCTAAACATGCCCAGCTCCCTTAGCTGTTCCTCATAAGGCGTCGTTGTTTCAGCTGTTCCTTTTCCATATGTTCTTCCTGCTTGAAATCAAGGGCAGAAGAGCATCTTGAAAAATAATTCCCAGCCTCTCTTTTTCTTGCCAAAGTGCAGGGGTTTTTAAACACTGGAGAAGTCAGGCTCTTATCACTTAGCTTTCTGTGGGTTGTATCCAATGTTAGTCAGAGTAGAAGCACTGAAATTAATGGACGTGGCTAACTTACATGATTAAAATTATTGGCCCTGTTTCTGAGTAGAATTTAATTGGATACAACCTTTTGTCTTTTTTTGCACCATGAACTAGGAACACTCTGTAATAACATTGTTGGCATCTACAGTGGTACCTCGGGTTACATACGCTTCAGGTTACATATGCTTCAGGTTACAGACTCCGCTAACCCAGAAATATTACCTCGGGTTAAGAACTTTGCTTCAGGATGAGAACAGAAATCATGATGCGGCGGCGTAGCGGCAGCAGGAGGCCCCATTAGCTAAAGTTGTGATTCAGGTTAAGAATAGTTTCAGGTTAAGAACAGACTTCCAGAACGAATTAAGTTCTTAACCTGAGGTTCCACTGTATCTGCCAAACCTCCATTGAGGGACATGGAGTGCGCCCCGGGGGTGAAGTCAAACTGCTGTGCTAGCAGCACCGAAGTGACTTCCCTGGGGTGCAAGCCTGGGCAGTGTGTATGGATTTGAAGGGAGCAATCTCTTATCAGGGGCTTCCTTATAGTGAGTCTCACCTAGCACAGGCAGTCACATCCCACAGGCCTGGACAGAAGTCCCTTGTAGCCCCTTCTACCTGAGATAATTTGCAACTGGCAGTGCAGCAAATAGAGATGTTTCTGAGTACAGTGGTACCTCCGGTTATGAACTTAATTTGTACCGGAGGTCCGTTCTTAAGCCGAAACCGCTCGTAACATGAGGCACGCTTTTGCTAATGGTGCCTCCTGCTTCTGTGCTGCCAGCGCGCGACTTCCGCTTGCATCCCGGGGCAAAGTTCGCAACAAGGGGCATCTACTTCTGGGTCAGCGGAGCTCGTAACCTGTAGCGTTCGCAAGGAGGACAGTACGTAACACAAGGTTCCACTGTATGTCACCCTGCCACTAGCCAGCTGAGAGGCCCTTCTAACCAGCTGTGTAAGTCACCTGCCATCCCAGTCCTCTCCAATATGGGCCATAACATTACTAAGTCATTGCAACAGGTTGGCATGGGCACCAGCCAATAGGAGACCATGATATTAGCACAACCGTATTCTATGCAGTGTTCCAAAATGCATCGTTTCCCAGAGTTGAGGGATTAGGAATGGATCCCTCTGTTCCCCTGAAACAGAAACATGATTGAGGAAAATGTTGTTGTGTAAGAGGGAGTCTCAGGACGCATCTGAAGGTCCGCAGCTTGCTTTATGTTAACAATGAAAAAGAAGACTGTTTTATATATTACTATGTAGAAAAAAGAAAGGCAACTCTGCAGGCAACCTGGTCTTGATTTTACTGATTTGTGACTTGTAACATGAATTTATAATTTCAACTTTGTGACCTGAAACTGTGCTTGTTGCTCTTCACTAGGGGGAGAGAGAGAGAGAGAGAGAGAGAAGGAGAGAGGGTCTGAACAGTATAATGAAAGCCTGACAATCTATTCTTTAACCAGAATAATAGCTGGAATTCTTCATGATTAGAAATACAGTATCAACATAATCGATTTAACAACATTACATTGTAGCTGAAAATAGACTGAAATCCCTAGCCAGGCATCCACTGTGTCTGAGCGAAACATCTTTCATATGGTTCTAAGATGAAATTACCCCTGAATGAATAGCATCTTCATTTATCTTCAAAACCTCCTCTGTGTTACCAGTGAGTCTACCCTTCTCACATTCTGCAGCAGGAATTACATTATACCATTATAGCAGCATTCCAGTGCAGTGTAAAATAGATTGTTTTGGAAAATGAACCTGGCTTTGCAATAAATTACATTTACAGGTACAAAGGAATTTGTTACTTTGTTTAAAGTAGTCACAAATACAATTAAACTCTTAATTTATGTTAAACTACAAATGTGGCTATTACCATAACTGGATTAGGAATATAATCTGTCACTCCAAGTACGATACTGAACAGTTTTCATTTATAATTGCAGACAGACTTTTCACTTTACAGAGTCTGCTACTGCTTGATAGGAAAGCTGGAATATTTCGTACATTTGTCCAGGGTTTTTTTTTTTTTAAATTTTCAGACACGCTTTTCCACCCCAGATAAATTGGAGAATAATCCCTCAATTGTCATTACCCAGCTTCCCCTTTGTTGTGCTTTTCATGGAGGAGAACAAGAGGAAAAAGCAAATCCCCTTTTTTTCCTCCCCTGTCATGCTGGCATTTTCTGGAGCCACATTTAAAATATTACTCATTGTGATTTAACTTGAATCTATTTCAATATATTTGTAAGATCAATAGTGTGCAGCTTAAAGAAACAAAAAAAAAGCTTGGTACATGGGCATCCCATGTACCCTTGTTCCTTTAGGGTAAAGGTAAAGGTAAAGGGATCCCTGACCATTAGATCCAGTCATGAACGACTCTGGAGTTGCAGCGCTCATCTCGCTTTATTGATCGAGGGAGCTGGCGTACAGCTTCCGGGTCAGGTGGCCAGCATGACTAAGCCGCTTCTGGCGAACCAGAGCAGCGCACGGAAATGCCGTTTACCTTCCCGCCGGAGCGCTACCTATTAATCTACTTGCACTTTGACGTGCTTTCGAACTGCTAGGTTGGCAGGAGGAGGGACTGAGCAACGGGAGCTCACCCCGTTGCGGGGATTCGAACCGCCGACCTTCTGATCGGCAAGTCCTAGGTTCTGTGGTTTAACCCACAGCGCCACCCGTGTCCCTCCTTTAGGGTAGTGATGGCCAAACTCGGCCCTCCAGCTGTTTTTGGACTACAATTCCCATCATCCCTGACCACTGGTCCCGTTAGCTAGGGATGATGGGAGTTGTAGTCCAAAAACAGCTGGAGGGCCGAGTTTGGCCACCACTGCTTTAGGGGCACATTCTCTCCTATCATTGCCCAACGCATGTTTGAATGTTTGTGGAGATCCTTATGCTTTGCTACTGTGCATGAATCTGTGGACCAGGGCACAAAGGGTGGTTTAGCCAAAGTGCTTCACTGCCACCTTTCTCTTCATTTGTGTCTCCCTAACGCAGGTGGCACTGTGGGTTAAACCACACAGCCTAGGACTTGCCGATCAGAAGGTCGGTGGTTTGAATCCCCATGACGGGGTGAGCTCCCATTGCTCAATCCCTGCTCCTGCCAACCTAGCAGTTCGAAAGCACGTCAAAGTGCAAGTAGATAAATAGGTACCGCTCCGGCGGGAAGGTAAACGGCATTTCCGTCCGCTGCTCTGGTTCGCCAGAAGCGGCTTAGTCATGCTGGCCACATGACCCGGAAGCTCCCTCGGCCAATAAAGCGAGATGAGCGCCGCAACCCCAGAGTTGGGCATGACTGGACCTAATGGTCAGGGGTCCCTTTACCTTTACCTTTAATTTTCTATTGTGGCAAAAGAGCCCTCTCTGGGATTTGATCCACACGGCGCGACCTAGACAGGACTTTGCTTCAGATGTGGCTAGCAGAGGCCAGACAGATGTCTCACAGTCCAGGGTTCCCCAATCCACAGTTTCAGATCTTCATGATTCTAATCCATTTGTAGAGCCAGGATTTAGCCTTTAGGCAGCTCAGCTGACTAATGTTAGGGTTCACAGGTGCATGTCACCTTCCTATTCTATAGGCTGAGCATTGTTCATTCTTGACCACTGGTGTTGGTGGTGGGAAAAGAGCACATTTCTCTGTGCTTCATAATTTTAAATGCATAGTGGGCTGCCCTTTAGTTTGTGGGTAGAGTTGGATGGGGGGGGAAAATCACCATTGTTTGCAAATAGATTTAAGCCTGGAATGATAGCTAAAAGCAGCAGTGTTTGCACTGGTTGTGTTCTCATTCATTCATTTTAAAGCTGCAGGAATCATTACTTCTGAACCAGGAAATAAAACAAAGTATGAAACAATAAGTGAAAGACAGTAAGCGAAAACACACTTCATGTAAAAATTTTCTCATTTTCAGTATGGTATAGAGAAAGGGAATATAATTGTTGCCAACAATTTATTTGCATGCTGCTCCTCTGGATTACGCTCAAAGCAGATGACCAAAACAGTATATAGAAGTGTTAAAAACAATCTGAAGTATGTAAAATATATTTCATTATATCGAAATCCTTACATGCAAGCTAGCAGAAGCATAATAATTACAAAATTTCCTAAACATATGAAAAGCACTCCTGTCGAAAATGAGAATATCTGCATTTAGCTAACAAATTTATTCACAAATTCATCCAAATCACTAAGGTATCAGCAATAAAAAAATGCATTAATTTTGAAGCGTTACAATTTAAACCAGTTAAACTTACTCAAAGGCCATTAAAACAGCAGGCTGTCTTGGTTATGCAAAAGTAATTGAATAAAGAATACAGACCATCTTCGATACTAATGTATTTGCTGTAACAGCAACTAGAGTAGTAAAAATGGGGGTTTTGATGTGCAAAATGTTGGAACCTCATACTGACAAGTCCCATATTTACCTGCTTTGGCAACCAGCTTTTAGAAAAACCTATATTGTAGGTTAAAATTCCTGAGAATTTTAATTTTTTTAAATTTTGCCTTCAGATAACCAGTGTAATCTTTTCATTTGCTCTGCTTTTATTTCCAGGCCTTTTTGCAAATGTGCAACCTGCCAGTCCAGGTGGTTTGTAGGGCAAATGCTGAATATATGTCCCCATCTGGTAAGTGCAACACTCATTTACATTACACCTGTGGTTGGAAACTATGGCAACAGTATCTCATCACGCAGACCATGAATGCATGTGAGCTTGCATCTTGTTCTGCTAGAAAGGAATGAAAATAATGTGTTTCTACCTTTTTATTTGCTTGCATTATAACAGTAGGCTTAGGGCCAAGGCAGACAGTTCCATGTGTTTAAGTACTGAATGATTCAAATCATAGTGAATGGGGTTGTGAGAGTCTGATTTTTAACTTCAAAAGGAGCCCGTGGAGAGCTAGATATTGGAAAAACTTAGAAGGGGCCTCTCTGACAAACCAGTACAAGAAGTTATGGCGGCTAGAATTTGATGAAAAACAGGCCAGCCTCTGAAGCTGGCTTGAGAATTGACATGCATGGACCCTTTTGTGGTGATTTGGTGCAGTTTTATTACATTCACAGCTCCAAATTACTGCAAAGGACTTCACTCTTCCTACCAGCTTTTCTGACTTGTCTGAATATCATTTGCTTCATCCTTCATAGACAACCGGAGCTTTGGCAACTGATTGGAAATTGACCCTGTTTCTGGACGCAGACTTCATCTCTTGTAGAGGGCGATATAATGATAAAAATTAATTTATAGATGGAGGACCCATGCGTGATATTGTTTATTATCAGAGAGGAGTTTCCCATATTGCTGGAGTTTTATTACAGAGCTAGCAGCATGGAAGTGCCCAGTCCGAGGCAAACATAGTTGCACACTTGTGTGCATCGATTGTAGAAACCAGCTATGCCAACTGCAACGTCTGAGTTGGGTCTTTATCAGTTGAGTTGATTAGAAGTATTGTAAGAGTGGACTCGATGAAACAGTGTGCCCAACCCCCTAAATTTATCACCTGGGGGTTTTCTTTCCTTGGGACCTGAAATCAAGAGGGGAGTCTCTGTTGCTAAACAGACTTAACTCAGTAATGTTCATTCCTTTCAGTGGGTCTACACTGAGTAAAAATTACTTGAATTATCACCTTTTGGCTGTGAAAGCCTCTTCCCTTTTATGGGATTCTGTTCCTGAGGGTTTCATGGTTGGCTCTGCTTTCGTTCTGTCCATCTGTTAAGAGCCTTCTGAGAGCACTGAAACGCTGACTCCTGCCGCAGAAACACCAAAAGACCATTCTTTATATAGTAGCTTTGTGGAAGTAAAGTCTGGATCGATAAAACCATTGAGAGGTCTGTAAGCTCAAAAAGACCCTGCATTCTTTTTGCAATGCATGCCATAGTGCAGATGCATCGATTCTTGTGACTGCTTCTTTGAACCTGAGTAAAGCTCTATAGACAGCTAGACAGTATTAACTATTCAAGGGGCTGTGTTTGCATGTCATGCAAAACCATATTTTCAAGTTGGCTTGTTTCAAACAAGCCATAGTTTAATGTTAGCTACAGTGTCTGCTGAAAGACAAACTGTGGCTAAGCAAAACCAGAAACCAAAAGCTTACTAACTCCTCTGCCTGGGAGGAGCAGGGGGAGCAGACAAGTGCAAGAATTGCCTGTGTTCATTCATGTTGCACCAAACGAGGAGTGGGGAATATGAATAGCACTGGACTCCAATTCCCATGAGCCCCAGCCAGCAAGGCCAGTGGTTAAGGATGATGGGAGTTGTGGTCTAGCATTGTTTGGAGGGAACTACTACCCTTGGTTTAGTGTAATGTGCAAATGTGACAATTATGCCTTTAAAACATTAAATCTTCTTTCTTGGCAGCAATAAAAAAATAGAACAAGGAACGAAGTCCTTCAGCAAATACACTGATTACTGAAGGAGTGTCAGGATTACATACTATCTCAACCTTAGATATCTATGAAGTTCCTTTCTGTGCTCAGTTTTCTCCAGCTGAGCAGCACCAAAGGTTGTACATGAAATTAAAGCCAAGCCCTTGTTGGTACAGGAGGGCCATTTCTGTTTTACAGCTCTCACACTCAGACCAGGGTTCGAATGCTCCCTCAGCCATGAAGCTCAGTGGGTGACCTTGGGCCAGTTACCATCTCTTCGCCAGCCTACCTCACAGGGCTGTTGTGAGGCTGAAACGTGGAGAAGGAGAAGCATATACACCACCTTGAGATCCTTGGAAGATAAAGGTGGCCTATAAATGCAATAAACAAAATTAAAAAGTATATAATACACACACCTAATGGGTGTAGTTCACCTGATTAAGTGGTGATACCTCGACAAAACTGACACACAACAATATTCAAGGCTAGAATATTCAATTTAACGTGCAAGTAGGAGTTAACATGAGCAGCAGATAATATTATAAATAATGGAAGATTAGAGACAAAAATCAGGATACGTAGCAAATCAAGGTTGGCATTGAATGCCATGGAGAGATGGATTTGGAAGTCTTAAGGAAAGAGATAAGTGATGGACAATGTATGAAGTATGTTTAAAAGTTGTAAAAAAATGCAATAATAATAATAATAATAATAATAATAATAATAATAATAAACAACTGACCCACATTGTGAAAGCTGACCAAGTGTAGAATCTACTTCAGTGGACGTTTCACTTCCACGCTTGCAACAGATATGACATAGGTGTCCTAGCAGTCTTTGATCAATTGTTACTCTACTGAGTCTAATCGGTTTTGAAATGCCTTGAAGAATACACTGACAACTAGTTGACGGAGTCGAAGGGTGGCAGTCAGTTGTCACTGCAGGCTTACAGCACAAAAATGAGGCAGATATATGGGAAGATGGGCAGCTCTCGGGTTCAATTGTGTTCTGTATCTGAAGACTCTTAAGGTGCGCTGTAGCAAACCCCCCCCCCCCCATTTCTCTGCTGTGATTTTGGCACTTAACCAGAAGTAAGTATGGGAAGCTTTTGCAGGGAGATGCCCATCTACTTCTTGTGTATGTGGCTAAGGGTGTTCAGTCCGGAGTTCCCTGATTCTGCTTATCGGGTATGCAGAGGGTCAGGGTGGGCTGTGCAGATCACAGGATGAGTGCGATGGAGAGCATCTCGTTGTAAAAGGACACAAAGGGATTCAGATATCCAACACTGATCCACATGTTTTAATTGCTTCCAAGTGTTTGTGTTTCACGGGGCTTTGTATTTAGGATGGGATCAACAATCACTGCCTGGAACAAATGCCAGAAGTATAATTTCCATACTAGCTATAAAGGTGCAGAAGCTTTGGCACATCCCCACCCCCTTAACATGGCATTTGTTGAACTCTTGCTGATTTCATCTAGCAACCTCTCAGTTTTAATTAGATAAATGAGTTAAAAGTGTGCTGTTTTTTCTTCTTTCCCTCGCAGGGAAAGTGCCCTTTATTCACGTAGGAAATCAAGTTGTTTCTGAACTTGGCCCCATTGTCCAGTTTGTAAAAGCCAAGGTAAGGTGCATATACGAAACCTATTTTTCCTCAGCAAATTCTTGTTTTAGCAGTTGGGCTAATTAAGTTTGTGTTGATAAAATTATCCTGAGAACCAGAGCTCTAGAAGACAGGATAGCATCATTTATTTTGCATAGTAAGGCTTCTTCTAATGGCTCATAACAAAAATAATTTATTAGCAAGCTTTAGGAAAGGTTCCAGTTTAGCAGAGAGAGGAGGGGAAAGGAGGGAGAGCTTTCCAGGCTCACATCTGCAGAAGGATATTTTTGTAGCTGTTCATTTAAACTTTTTAACTCTTGAGGGCAAGATTTGACTCCTCTGTCATGTCCCTTATTCTTTTCTCGTCAGCTGAGTAAAACTGGTGCCCTTAAAATCCAGGACAGAATCTTTTCTTGGTGCGAAATATTGCCTGTGCGAGAGAGACATTGACAGGGAGAGATTGTGCGCGTGTGTGTGTATGAATAGAAAGTAGGTAACATGAAATGCTTTTGTTTTTGTCCTTTCTGTGGACTAGAGGGGCATGGATATATCATTCACGTGTGCACCTGTATTTTTCTGAGTGCTTCCTTCTCAGAAAGAGGTGCCCACAGGTGGTACAGCTTCAGGCATGCTTAGAGGAAGCTGATCACTTGGACTCATCCCAGTCTTTCTCCAGACCTGGTCATGGCACTGAAACCATCTTGGTTACCCTGGTTAATAACATTAGTTAGGACAGGTATGCGGGGAGTGTCACCCTGTTCATTCTCCTTGAGCTTTTGGAGCCTGTTGATACTATAGAGAGAGGAAAAAGGGGTTGGGGGTACCGTGTTTCAGTGACTCTCCTTCTACTTCCATTTCCAGAAAATCATTATAAGGAACTGCTGTTTGGCACCATGGGAGTTGTCCTGTGGTGTCCTACAGAGTTCCACCTTGTCCTGAATGCTATTTAACATCTGTATCCTGGTTTCTTACCTATGGTCCATTGATCCCTAGAGGGTCCATCGATGGGCATCAGGGGTCCGTGAGCCAGATGCAAGAAACAATAAAATAAAATGTTTGATTTCCTTCCTGTTACTTTGAAGTGCTTTTATTTCAACTAATCACAGTCATTTAAGCGTCTAGTAGACGAGTATATGTCTTTGGCGTCTCCTGTCCTTTTTCTGGAGCCTTTTGGCTAATTCTGTCCCTGTGACCAAATTTCATCATGGTTTAGTCCAGCAGTTACTTGTCTTTCTTTTTAGTTGAGATACAATAGGTTGACAATTCTATATATATAAAAACTTGAACGCTGCTGTTTTTATCAAAGGAATGTGTTGGAATGTTGTCTGAATGGGAAAATTCCTTGAACAATGGCAGTCTTCCTGTATGTGTCCGCACATATACTAGGCCTTCCAGTCTCCACCTAAAAATATTAATTGGTTTAGGTGGGGTTTTAGCTCTTCCACATATTTATGAATTATTCTTCCAACTATAGCTGCATTCTGAAGCCCCCCACCAAAAAAATATTTTTTGCAAGGTAATAATAATAATAATAATAATTTATTATTTATACCCTGCCCATTTGGCTGGGCTTCCCCATTCATCAGACAGCCTGGTTCCCTTCCAGTGCTGCAGTTATTTGAAGATGGGAGCCTTTGAAGTTCCAGTAGCCCTCCTGATCCTGCGCTCTTGTCTAGAAGGTTGCTGCATGTGGGTTCCTGCCATTTTGGCAGGCCTGGAAGTTGCACTTACTCCTTGGCTTCCACACGCTAGTTCTTACGGAACAGAGATTCACTTTGTTTGAATCTTAAAATTCCACGTAATCAATGTTCACGTTGATTCCTGCTTTCTTTCTTTAGCCCTGTGGATCAATGCCGGTTCGTTTTTATAAGGCACCTGCATCATCATAATTTACTTAGGTTTATTTACAAGGAGGCTGTGGTATTTAGAAAGGCTACTTGGCTTGAAAGCAGAAGCAAAACAGGTGGATAGTTGGAAATCCTGCATACTGGTGTACCTTGCACTTTTCAGCTTTAAAATACTGCACTTCAAACTATAGGATCCAACATTGCACCATCAGATGTGACAGGATTTCATTTTGCTTCCCTCTTGTCTTCAACCTCAACTCCCCAACTCCCTGGATCAGATTTTGGGGTGCATGGGGTTTTCAAGGTGGGTGGAGAGAGATGGGAAGACCTCTTTGAGCAAGCAGAAGTCCATTGCACAAGCAGGAGACAGTGATTGGGTATTGCCCAGTACTTTTTGTAAATATATAATACTTATTATAGAGCTGTATATATACAGTTGTACCTTGGATCCCGAATGCCTTGCAAGTCAAACGTTTTGGCTCTCAAACGCTGCAAACCCAGAAGTGAGTGTTCCGGTTTGCAAAAGTTCTTTGGAACCCGAACGTCCGACGTGGTTTGTGATTGGCTGCAGGAGCTTCCTGCAGCCAATTGGAAGCCGTGCCTTGGTTTCCAAACGTTTTGGAAGTCGAACGAACTTCCGGAACAGATTCCGTTCAACTTCCAAGGTACCACTGTATTAGGAACTTTGCAGTATTTGTTTCATTTTTCTGTGAAACGTCAATTGCCTTTAGGATCTACAAAGCAGCATTTTAATGTGTAACGTTGCAATGCAGGGAGCTTTTGGAGTGAGCCAGAGCCCTCGACTTGAGTGGGCTTTGGAAAGGACCCAAACGGATCGTTTTCCCTGCCCTTCCTTTTCTCACCCCCCTCTTTTCTCTCTCTCTCTCCTTGCCTAAGGGCCATTCACTTAGTGATGGGTTGGATGAAGTCCAAAAAGCTGAGATGAAAGCCTACATGGAATTAGTCAATAATATGCTTTTGACAGCAGAGGTATGGCAAAACACTAGTAATTTGTCAGTCTTGTGAAATGAATGATATTGGGGATTGGAGGGTGGGGTGGGGGGAAAATAGAATGCTGTTTTCTTTGTGATGCTGCAAGCGAGTTCCTACCTACTTTATTTTTTAATAAAACACAAGGGTGGGCTTACGGTTCCAGCTAGGTTCAAAAAGCAGCACGCCGCTAATTTACATATTGCAATCTCAATTCTGTTTTCTCTGTCAAATGGGATTTTGTGCCTGCTCCATGACAGAACTGGCAACCACCTTTCTGTGTTCTAAATATGATTATTAATGGCTTGCTTGGTAGGGAGGGAAGACAAAGCTGCAAGGAATAAGCTGTCTGTGTAACCTTACATGTTATGAAATTTTAGTATTCCTTGGTTTTCTAGCTGTATCTTCAGTGGTGTGATGATGCTACAGTCCAGGAGGTGAGTGATTCTGCAACATTTATCTTAATTAAATTTTAATGAGAAAACACTTTTGCTCACAATTGCAAGTCCCTACTCATAAATGAAACATAGAGGTTTATACCACTAATGATAGCATATTTTTTTCACTTTAATTTTGCTTGCATACACATTTTGGGGGGAGCTCTATGTCATTACTGGATACACTGGTTTCAAAGTGAAAATGTTTTTAATATAATTTTTAAAACTTTTTTTTTTTAGCTGCAAGTTATAAATAATTGCATAAAATGGTGTATGAAAGCAGTGCCGTGGCAATAAAAGCCACAGCATCTTTTTTTCTTTGTAAAAGTGACATTTTTTTCCACTTTAAAGATTACCCATCCAAGATATGGATCTCCTTATCCTTGGCCCTTGAATCGTATTCTGGCCTATCAGAAACAATGGGAGGTCCGACGTAAAATGAAAGCTATTGGCTGGGGCAGCAAGTCGCTTGATCAGGTCAGTCGGTTATGCGCCAAACCTGAATGGTTCCTATAGTAATGAAATATTAAAAAACAAGGCTTCAAGGACGTGTTGGTTTCTTAGTACATGTGCACACATGTGCACACACATACACATATGTAACCCATAATCTTAGAACAGTTGCCACATGATTAAAGAAATTTTGTCAATAAATCGTATGAGTTTCAGGCTGCAACCCTAAACAGAATTCTTCTGAAATAATCCACATTTGAGCACAGTGGGTCTTAACCTCTGAGAGACCTGCATTGGCTCCCAGTACATTTCCTAGCACAATTCAAAGTGTTGGTGCTGACCTTTAAAGCCCTAAATGGCCTCGGCCCAGTATACCTGAAGGAGCATCTCCACCCCCATCGTTCAGCCCAGACACTGAGGTCCATCTCTGAGGGCCTTCTGGCGGTTCCCTTGCTGCGAGAAGTGAGGTTACAGAGAACCAGGCAGAGGGTCTTCTCAGGAGTGGCGTCTGCCCTGTGGAATGCCCTCCCACCAGATGTCAAGGAAATAAACAACTATCTGACTTTTAGAAGACATCTGAAGGCAGCCCTTTTTGGAGAAGTTTATAATGTTTGATATTTTATTCTGTTTTTTATATTCTGTTGGGAGTTGCTCAGAGTGGCTGGGGAAACCCAGCCAGATGAACGGGGTATGTATGTATGAATGAATGAATGAATGAATGAATAAATAAATAAATAAGCATGCGTAGGATTGCGCTGCTTAGTCAGCTGATTTACATCTGCATGTATATGAAATGGTTGGGTTGAATCCAGAGGCGCTTCCTCTTCCAGATCCGTCCTAATTATTCTCAAGAAGGAAGCTTCTTCTGTGCTAGCAAAAAGGAAAAGAAAAGAAAAGAAAGGCCACTCATTGGAAATAGAGGTCCCATCCACACCATATGTTGAAAGCACATTTGTTGTTGTTTAGTCGTTTAGTCGTGTCCGATTCTTCGTGACCCCATGGACCAGAGCACGCCAGGCACTCCTGTCTTCCACTGCCTCCTGCAGTTTGGTCAAACTCATGCTGGTAGCTTCGAGAACACTGTCCAACCATCTCGTCCTCTGTCGTCCCCTTCTCCTTGTGCCCTCCATCTTTCCCAACATCAGGGTCTTTTCCAGGGAGTCTTCTCTTCTCATGAGGTGGCCAAAGTATTGGAGCCTCAGCTTCAGGATCTGTCCTTCCAGGGAGCACTCAGGGCTGATTTCCTTAAGAATGGATGCGTTTGATCTTCTTGCTGTCCATGGGACTCTCAAGAGTCTCCTCCAGCACCATAATTCAAAAGCATCAATTCTTCGGTGATCAGCCTTCTTTATGGTCCAGCTCTCACTTCCATACATCACTACTGGGAAAACCATAGCTTTAACTATACGGACCTTTGTTACCAAGGTGATGCTGTCTAGGTTTGCCATCGCCTTTCTCCCAAGGAGCAGGCGTCTTTTAATTTTGTGACTGCTGGGAAGAAGCACATGGCTTCTCCCAAAGAATCCTGCAAAGGAAATGGGATTGTCCATGGGGATTCCCATGGTGATGTCCTCAGTATCCTCCCCACGGCGTGTCTCAGCTGAATTAGGAATTTTGCTTGTTTCCCCTATTTTAATAATTAAAAGCCATCTAAAGAGCTAGCATAAAAATGTGGTTGCGGAGAGACCTGCTCATGAAGTTCTTCAGTGTGTGCAACTGGGATCTTTTCTTTCTGGTGGCAGAAGTTGATCAACTGCCGCTCCCCTCTGGAGTGAAGAGGTTTGGAGAGGGGAGGGCATCAAAGGGGGAACTGGAAAGTCCCAATATGCACAGAGATGTGACCCTACGTATTCTGGTTAAAGACTAGCTACAGCTATAGAAACGTGCCAATTGTATTAGTCGTTCCTGTTCGTTCTATTGTTTCTTTGGTTTGGTTTTTTATTTTATTTTACAAAAACAGTGTATTCTGAGAAATCCCCAAGAGCTGCTTCATGCAGTGTTTGTACCAGAATAAAGAGCGATTCCCTTCCCTGAACCACATTGGGCACAAAAACGAATCTCTGCATACCTGAAGCTGTTTTGCATTTCACTTCAGCTTCCACCTGCAACGCTCTTCTATTTGAAGTCCAAATTTCTCCGGTATCTACAATCTGTTCTAAACATGCAGCTAGTTTTGTATGGTCCTGTAGCCACCTGGCAAAAAAAATAAAAAATGCATTCTGCTTTCTTTTTCTGTTTGCCATTTTAGGTGCTAGAAGACGTAGATCAGTGTTGCCAAGCCCTTTCTCAAAGGCTTGGAACGCAGCAGTATTTCTTCAATAAGAAGTAAGTTGCTTTCATATTTATATTAAGGAGTTTTTAGTCGTTGACAGTTGTGGAGTGCTTATTGAGCCAAGGAAGGCAATCCCTCTCCCCTCCAAAAAAAAACTGCACCTCCTTTCCCAAGTGAATGGGTGTGTGGAGTCTGTTCTGCCACGTCCTTCCCATCTTTTCCCCCACCCCACCCTCTCTTATCTGAGCCACATCCAACGGCAAGCCAGGCGTTGTTTGCACTGCTGGAACTAGGACTGTGCCTAGGCTGGGGAAAATACTTTCTTACCCTATAGCTCTGTGGCAGCCAATATGGCGACCCTTCAGATGTATAGCTCTCATCATCTCTGTTTGCTCTTCTGACTGGGGCTGAGGGGAGCTGGTAGTCCAACAACATCTAAAGCAGGCTTCCTCGACCTCGGCCCTCCAGATGTTTTGAGACTACAATTCCCATCACCCCTGACCATTGGTCCTGCTAGCTAGGGATCATGGGAGTTGTAGGCCAAAAACATCTGAAGGGCTGAGGTTGAGGAAGCCTGATCTAAAGGGTGCCATAGTTTATCAGCCCAACACTGGCAGTGTTTACTGCAGATAGCCCCTGCAAGCCACAAAAGGAAGCTCTGCTGTATAGCTCTGCGGTATGTACGGATAGTTTAATTTGAGCCCTGCTACTCCCTGGCTTTAGGGACACGGGTGGTGCTGTGGGTTAAACCACATAACCTAGGACTTGCTGATCAGAGGGTCGGCGGTTCGAATCCCCGCGACGGGGTGAGCTCCCGTCGCTCGGTCCCTGCTCCTGCCAACCTAGCAGTTCGAAAGCACGTCAAAGTGGAAGTAGATAAATAGGTACCACTCAGGCGGGAAGGTAAACGGTGTTTCCGTGCGCTGCTCTGGTTCGCCAGAAGCGGCTTAATCATGTTGGCCACATGACCCGGAAGCTGTACGCTGGCTTCCTCGGCCAATAAAGCGAGATGAGTGCCGCAACCCCAGAGTCAGCCATGACTGGACCTAATTGTCAGAGGTCCCTTTACCTTTACCTTTACTCCCTGGCTGGGCTTAGGATTGCTCTGCCCATACATTGGTAGGTTTGAAGTTCAAATATTGCTTTCGCGAATGGTACAGCCGCCTTTTAAAATGCAAAAATGATTCCAGTACTAGGAAGCCCAAGTTACATTGATGATAAAATGTGACGTGTGTGGAGTAATCCCGGAGTGGATGTGCTGTTGCCACTGCTTCCGTTATTTCCTACGCTGTGGAATTGCTTTGACAACCAAATTTGAAGCAAAGAGTAGAAATGGGTTCATATTTTTATTTTGTGGATGCCAGAGGAACCAGGAGAGGTAGTAGACAACATAGGAAGATGTCTTCTACCAAGTCAGATCACTGGTCCATAGAGCTCAGGACTGATGGCACTGATTGCTAGTGGTTCTCCATGGTTTGGGGCAGGAGAAATTTCCACCCCTACCTTGAAACACCAAGCGCTGGACGTGGGGATCTTTGAATGCAAAGTATATACACTACTACTGAGCAATCACCCTTCCCTGAGGGTTGTTGTTGTTGTTATGAATCCCCTCCCTGGTGGTGTCTGGTAGAATTTTGTCCTTTAAAATGACAGTTCGGCACACTCTGTGGTCTATATGTGGAGCTTCTACTGATGCTTAGTGTGAAATGCAATGGTTTATTTGTCTCTTTTCAGAATATTGTTTTCCCCTTTACTCCTAGGCCAACTGAATTAGATGCTTTGGTGTTTGGGCACCTGTTTACAATCCTTACTACCCAGCTGATCAGTGACGAACTATCAGAGAAAGTGAAAGGCTATAGCAACCTCATTGCATTTTGCAGAAGAATAGAGCAGCACTACTTTGAGGGGCGTGACAAAGACAGCTTGGCAACTGTTCCATCTCCGACGTTGAGGCAGTCATTGATGACCTGAAGGTTCTTTGGTGGCAGAAATTTGGCAAACGGATCTTTGATTTGTGCATTGTTTAAAAGAGACTAGTAACGACTTTGGAAAATTGGATGCACTGCACACTTTCTGTTTGAAAACTGCCAAAACTGTTGTAGCCCAAGAGTATGTCCTTGTGACTAATTCTACAAACACACATTACGATGAAATAATTAAGAGTGGGCTTTGTTGTAATATTAGCCTGCATGCTGTTTTAACATAACTCTAAAGTGTCCTTGAAAAACAACGTTGTATCAGAATTCAACAACAATAAAATTTATGACAACTCTGCAAAAACCTTTCTGTAATCTTTCCTTTTGCATTCTCTTGGGGTCTTCAGATTCTTACTGCAATTTTCATTTTATTCTGTAGAGTTAAAAGTTGAATACATGATTCAGATTCGCCCAGAATAAAATATTTGGGCTTCTATATCTAACCAGTCATCATTAAGAAGGATTAAGAAGAAATTTCTTACAGGCCAGATTTAATAAACACCCTAGCCTCATCTCCTCTCCTCCATGGCTTGAAGTACCATGAAAGTTTCTGCTCTGCCTTATTTTTTGTATATTTCTGTAAATAAGCACAGTATGCAAATAAGAGTTTGCTAACCTTTCCTCTAAATCTTGTTTATTACATGCTGGGTTTAGCTGATCATTTAGGCTTTGCCCTGCTTCAGGATTATTAGATTAAAAACAAACAAACTCTCAAAAACTTAATCAAAATAGAACCATCAAATCCCATTCAGAGCACTGTCTTCCTTGCCTCATTTTTGCCCTTCTCAGATTGATAAACCCAGCTAGCTCAGCTTTGTCACTCAAAATCAAAGGTGTTTTCCGTGGGTTTTTAAAAAAAGTGCTCAGATTTGAGTTCTTCATAGAAAAATAATTATTCAAATATGGAACAACCACCATAGGTTCTTGCCTATGCTTCCCGTGTCCAGTTGCTTTTATTCTTTATGTAACGTGGTGGCTCTCTTTGTTGTTATTTTTCTTGTGTTGGTGTTGTTCAGATATGTTTCTTGTTTGAATCACCAGTAATCTCTTGGATGCCAATTTGCAGCAGAAAATGACTGCATGTCTTGTTCAGCAGCACCCCATCAACCTTTTAACTTCTTCTTAAAGTCTGACACTATGCATTAACTCAGTTTGGAAGTGTCTTTCAGATTAGAAATCCCAGCTATCTAGAAACGATTTAGCAAGAGAATACTGATCTATTATAAGCAAATAAAGCATGCACAAATCTATTTGAGCCACTCAGACTGCACTTAAGGATATGGAGATGAGTGAATTATGTTGCAAACTCAATAACTAAAGGAAGATGAGCTGCAAGGCTGTAAGACTATTGCAGATAAATATTTTTTTGTAAAGTAAGCTGTCTTCTTCTCAGTCCCCCTTATCACCCCATTTTCCGTTGCTCTAATTGAGTTATCAGAACACTCCATTTGAATTAGGTTAAGAATCAGGAACGCTTGTTCAAAGGATATAGGACTAAGTACTTCCTACGCTCTTTTAATTCGGAGGAAGTGGCGTTCCAATAACTAATGCAATCATGTTGCCTTGAGTGTATGCCTTGTTTAAAAAGCTTAGCATTTCGAAGTTTGGAAAATTAATTTTGAAAGCTAATCAAACTGCCGTATAACGAAGTTCGGAAGCGCCATTGAATTGCAGTGTATTCTTACAGCAGCAAGGAATGGAAGCTGTGCACACTTCATACCACTGATAGTTAGAATTGTAATCTTTAATCAGTGTAATTAATCCATTAAAGGTTTAGGCTGAAATTTAGACCGACAATTGATTAATCAGGTTGTTACTTGCACTGCAGGAAAGGCTTCCCGTACTCTGCTGCCCAACACACACACCCCCGGCACTTGCCAATACCCCTTCCCCATCCCCAGCTTGTCCATGTTCCTGTGAACATTGGGGAAGAGGCCTGCATGGACTTCATTCCTTTCATTGAAGACTTGCCTGATTCCTAAAGCAGTGTCCCCATGTAGGAGACTGCTCCCCTCACTTGAGGACAATACTTGTGCTCCGTCCTGGTTCCCTTGGCAGCTTAAATTGTGCTGAGGAAGGGGTGGAAGTAGGCTACCGGACGGTGTCATGGTGGATGTAGATGAATGATGAGAGGAACTAGCTGGGGAACCAGTAAGGGAAGAAGGCTCACGGAGCCAAGGGAACGGTGGTGGGGTGACAAGTGGTCAGAGGGAGAAGATGGGGAAGAGGAGCTGTTGGAAGCTGAAGTTGGGACAGAGTGTGGAGGAGAGTCGTCCAGAATCAGAAACTGAAGCAGGTGAGTAGGAGGAAGGAGGCCAGTAGGCAGAGATGAGTTAGGCTGGTGAAGAGTCACAGGCGTCTCCCCCTCCTGTTGCAACCAGCTTCCCTCCCCACATCTCCCAGAACCAGAAGAGGGCTGAATAGGGTGGAGCAGTGGCAGGCTACACACAGGTACAGTCTCCGATTGCTTGGAAAAAAGCCCTGGAGTGGACTTAGAGGAGGAGGCGGGGCAATTGCAAACCAGTGCGATGGTCAGTGATCTACCCTGCTGAAAGTCAATGTTCTGCACCAGTTGCATACTTCTTGAAAATACCTCCAGAAGTAACCCTATTCAGAACCAATTCACTTATCTGGTGTGAGCATATACAATGTCCATGAGTGATATTCAACTAAGATATACTTGGAGTAAAATTGAAAAAGTTAGTGTGCATGAGTAAGTTAGGTCCATTAATTTCATCAATATTATCTATTTATTATCTCATTGCATAAAATTTCTACAACACTTGATTGTTGTTGTGTTTTTTTTTAAAAAACCACAGTTTACAGAAAGAGTAACACAATATAATTATTGGTAAAAATAGTTACAAACAACAGTTTTAAACACCCCAAAAATTAAAATCAGCAATAAACTAAAAATAGATTGAAAGATACACCAACATTCTAGATATCTGGATAGACCTGTCTAAACAAAAATATTTTAGCAGGCACCAAATAGAATAATAATAATTAATTTATACCCCGCCCATCTGGCAGGGTTTCCCCAGCCACTCTGGGCAGCTTCCAACAAAATATTAAAATACAGTGTACAGAGTACAGTGAAGGAGGCCGTCTGATGTCAACAGACAGGGAGTTCTAAGAGGTAATATCAAAAACTCATGTCTACATTACAATATATGTTGAATTTATGTTTTGTGGTACAGCGGAACAGCTTAATTTAAAGGCTTTCTTAGGCTCCCTTTGGGTCTATTCCTCTGATTTAGCTGAAACATTCTTCTTTGAACTAGCATTTGGCAACCAGCCTGGAGATAATGGGGATCTCATTTCAGATACTCTGAAAAGGTTTCTGTACTGGTACAAGGTCCTGGAGTCATTCTTGCCTCTTCCCTCCTTCAGTTTGACCCTTTTGTGTCCTTCTGCAGGGACATTGCTGGAGCATGTCAAGTGAAGCTCTTTGATCCATGCTGACTTCGTAGTTTGTAAACTGCTTAGAGGTTCATTTACAATCAAGCGGTGTGTGCGTTTGATTTTGATAAGTTTTTAGCATTTTAATTTTTGTATGTTTTAAAGCAGGCACAGGCAAACTCGGCCCTCCAGATGTTTTGGGACCACAACTTCCATCATCCCTAGCTAACAGGACCAGTGGTCAGGGGTGATGGGAATTGTAGTCTCAAAACATCTGGAGGGCCGAGTTTGCCTGTGCCTGTTTTAAAGTATGGTTGCGAATTTTTCTTACTGAAAAATTCAATAAGAAAGCTTTGAGGTTTTCTACAGCCCAACAACATGTAGATTTTTAAAAAAAAAATAAACATGCATAGATAGAGTAAAATAAATGTTACAGTCATCACATGGAGGAAAAAATCCTGTTGTTTAGAGGTTGTTCTGAAGCAGGCTTCCTCAACCTCAGTCCTCCAGATGTTTTTGGCCTACAACTCCCATGATGCCTAGCTAGCAGGACCAGTGGTCAGGGATGATGGGAATTGTAGTCTCAAAACATCTGGAGGGCCGAGGTTGAGGAAGCCTGTTCTGAAGTTTGCATGAATAAGCCAGAGTGGCAAACTCAGCATGGTAGGGACAAGGAATGCTGGTGGGCAGAATGCAGGTTATCTCAACTTCTGATAAAGAAGGAGGGATGGTGGTGCGAGAGAGTAAAGTTTAGCATGGGAAGATGGAATGGCAATCCTGAACTCTTCCCTTGCTTAAACTACATCTACCTAGATCAGGCATAGGCAAACTTGGCCCTCCAGATGTTTTGGGACTACAACTCCCATCATCCCTAGCTAGCAGGACCAGTGGTCAGGGATGATGGGAATTGTAGTCCCAAAACATCTGGAGGGCCAAGTTTGCCTATGCCTGACCTAGATCCTTTTTCTCCTAATGCAGCTTTGAGGTCTTAGGCAAAACCTTTAAGCTAGAAAAAAGCATTTTTGGCTGGGGGGTGGGGTGGGGGGAGAAAGAGAGAACAGGCATTGTTTTTCCCCTTTCTGTCTATCCTCTGCTTTATAGGAATTGGGCATGGTCCTCATTCTAGCCCATGGGATGTGTCTCCATCATGGCTACTTTGCTGCATAGACATCACCTAAAGGAAACACTTGCATGGGTACCAGTTCCCTTGGTAGCAAATTGCATCATGATTAATAGTTAATTAGGGGGCATCTGAGCAACTTGCCTTGAATAGATGGATGTTGTCTTGAAAGCAATGAATGGGCCTCTAAGCATGTTAATGATAATTAAGCATTTGCATATTACTTATTCCAAAGGGCTTCATAACCATTCTGCAGTTGTCAAGAAAGTAACTGTTTAGGGCCCAAGCCATAACCTATGTCAGCATCAGAGTCAACTTCTGCTGCAATTTGGGCTTTATTCACCTTTATTGCTCTGGTACTTTTCTATTTACATATGTATCTATCCATCTTTACAGGATGCATGCGCAAAGAAAAATCCTGATAGATGTGTGCCAGTATTCCTGTTCACAGGCAAATATACTTGGGAGCAGTGCACTGCTAAAGCAACACTCTTGCACCTTCCTGAGTGTTAGGTATTCTGTGGTCTGTGTTTGCTTGAGTCTGGACTAAGGATTCTGAGCCCCTGTGCTCTGATTTGATACATGATATCCAATCACAGAACATTTCAGGATTTGGGCCTCTGCCATTGGCCCTTAAACTTGTGAGTTATGATTTGCAGCTTGGAAGTTTAGACAGCCAATCACGTTGGGAGTGGGAGTGGCCCAGGCCTTCAGAAATGTATATAAGCAGTTGCTTTGTCCCTGTTGTCTGGTTCTGTTAGTTCAATAAAGGTTCTTGTTGT